TAGATAAATTATAATTATGAAATACCAAATGTTGAAATTATTTTTAGTAGGCTAAGGTAAAAAATATTTATTTCTTTGGACGCTATTTGCGTGAATGCGTCAAAACATTTGGGAAAGTCCACACGTAGTGCTCGAGAAATGAACGCATTTTATACGCACCTGAGCGAGAACAATAGATAGTTGACTGTTAAAGAAGACGTGTGTATGTTAGTACCGATCCTACATTATTACCAAATAAAGTCTTCTTTTCTACTTTTGAATACCTCTTTAATTACAAATTATTTATGTACATGTTCCGCGTGCGCAATACTGTTGCAATGTTTTATTGCCAACTGTCATTTTTAGATCTTATTTCTCAGTCTGTGTCAATGACGTCATTTGAATATTGTAATTGCAAGTTTAAAGAGAAAATTTCCATTTTCCGAATTAAAATAAATTCAAACATATCCTTAGTAAGCTGAATTTAATAAGTTCTTTGCCTATAATCAAGTCGCTTTTGCAAATTTTTAAAGGTTATATAAAATGGTCGCCTAGAAAACAGTGTTTGTTTTTTGTTAGTGACGAAAAAGGATAGCAAAACCAAGTTGTTTTACTCTACTATTGCCTCTTTTGGGATGTAAAATCCAAGATATCGAGTCAAGGTTATATTAGTATATTATACCTACACCTACATTTCCTAGTACAAGTCGTATGATTGCGTCATTAACTGGAGGCAGTCGTGCCTAATGTAAATTTGTCCTCTAAATTATATATCGATAAGGCTATAAAAACTAGTGAAAGCGTTTTTTAATCTAATATTGTTCATTGTTGCCCGCTTAGAACGTAACTAGCAACTTACTAACAACAACGGATCGGATTACCATAGAATTAACGGGAACTTAAAAATGTGATTTAATATTTTTTAAATAAATAAGTAATTTAACTCCTACCATTAATGTTTAGTTGTAAAAAAATTACAAAAATATGTAACTGTACTCGAATAACAATTAAATTTAAATATGTTGTTTACATTTTTAAAAGTCATTACTGCATGACATCGCGATGGTTTCAGCAAACTGACATCTAGCGGCAAGAGGAAATCAGAAATAGAGTGATAAATTTTCAACAAGTGTAGCATATTGTCACTAGATGGCGCAAAAATAAAAATCGGCATATTTAAAAGATCAAAAATACGTTGTTATCTGTATTTTAATATGTTAATTACAAAGGCATTTTTGACTGAATGCTACTATAAATTCTTTAAGATACGAGTACATGAAAAATACAATATTTATTCGTTTTCAAGAATTTTAAATCGCAACGTAGAATTTATAAAAATGTTATGCTTCATTTTTATATTTCTCACCATATGGAAACTTATTTTGATAGCAGTAAAGCAAAGGAGTTCCTTATATTAATTAATATGTAGAATTTACTGCTACATACAAATAGGTTTGCGTCTCATTTGGATTAAGATGAATTGGTTGTAAAAACTAATTGGTGCTAATTTGACCTTGACTCGTTGTTATTGAATCATGTTAAAAAAACAATAACTAAAATTTACAACTAACGACATGTGTTCATTTATAAAAAAAAATCATATATATAAAAAAATCAAACAATATAGAAGCCGGATACAATGATAATCGTGCTGAAATAAAATAAGAAACTAAATATTGATAAAAACTCTTACAGACTTACAAATAACGCGGTATAAAGTTAAACTTAGGAATAAACTAAGTATAAGCAAATATTAGTACAAATTTTGCTTAGTTAATTACTAAGGGTGAGTTGCATCAAATCGCTGGTTATCGTAAAAGTTATAATAGGGTTACAAGTGCAAAAACATATTCTCACAGAGGTTTTATGTGTTTTTCGTTTTTACAATGGAAACATTTAAACCTGAATGTCACTAAAGTGTCAAGTTGGTGTCAAGAATGACATTTACGTAAATTAAAATGTTTGGAAATTCATGTTTCGCCGTATATATTTATGTATCATACGCATGGTATTTTATAGTGACATAAACTTTTTGCCCACGGAGATGGAGAAAATGGCAAACTCTTGTGAAAATAAACTAGTTTGGGCCATTATTGAAACTGTATTTACTTTACTACTCAAATATGTAGCAAAAATGAAACAATAAAATTATACAAATATAAATGCATCTTATTTATTTGCCATATTAAAAATTGTCCTCTCAATGCATATTATAAATTGTCCTTTTATGGAGGACATTTTTTTTAAATAAGAGAAAAGGGACAAGCGCTGTTGCTATGGCCTTAGACACTCGAAATTTGTCCAAACTGAATGATTGGCCAAATTTCGAGTTCCATCTTGGAAATCCATTATTCCCGAGCACGCAAGACTTTATTCTTCTGGATTACGTATAGGATAATAGTAGAGATTTTCTTTTTCCATTACTTTTTCCATTATTTGTGCTTTTGAAGATAAGAGCTTGTGACAGTTGACACTACAGAACTGACACTAACCGTAACGCTAACTATAACCGCCCAAAATCGGGCGGTTATGATTAGTGTCAAATATGACGTCATTTTGACCAGCGCAAAACTGGTATAGCGAATATCATGAACATCCGAAGACGTAACCATCGGGAATGTGCTGGTTAAGGTTTATAGTTAGTTAATGTAACTCATCCTTAGTAAATTTTAAGGTTATTCCAAATATTACTGTTACAAATAATTTTAACTTTAACGGTAACCGGCGATATGGTGCAACTCACCCTAAGTTTAAGTTTATATCGCGTTTGTTTGTAAGGCTGTTAAACTATGCAATCTTCCACGTCAATAGTAAACAAGAACGGCGCGTCAACGTTAGAAATGCACTACATGTACCTATAACATCACCTTTTATGCTGAAATTATTAGAGGTAGACCTAGAAAGAAATGGATGGATTACGTGAAAGGTGACATGATCTAGAAGGGAGTGATGACCGAGATGACGTATGATAGAGTTATGCTGAGGAAATTAGTAAATTCTCAAATAGTACTTCATCAGATAATTCTGGCTGCAATACGTGAACACTTTCAGGCCCACCGAAGCAGGACCAAAAGGACATTGTAAAGTCCCCATTTCACAAAACACGTGGCTACCGTAGTGTGCGATATCCACATACATAAAGCCTTGCGTTGGTATCCATCGCTTAGTCATATTCGTTCCATCGTTACAAAACGGAACACGAGTTCACCTTACGTATGCATTATACGTAAATAGTTTTATTTAACTTTATTATTACTAAATAGCCTATTAAAATGGATAAAGGTAGGTGGAGACATGTTACTTTTATTAAAGTATATTTTTTGTTTGAAACCTTTTAATTTAGTAAATAAATTACTAATTAAAAAGTATATTATAGAATCATAGGGTGTAAAAACCTTCGATCAATAACAATTTTTTCGTATAGTAAAGTGGTTGTCTTCATAAATAAAATACGATAATTTTATATTGAAAAAGGATTTATTTAATTATTTTTATACAATATGTTTTTATATAACTACAGTAATATTACTAAGATACCAATTTATACCATGCAAGTTGAATGGGCTAAGGGTTACAAATTGTACAAGGTTAGGGTTTATTTTTTTCTTAAGTTATTTGAATACGTAATAACTAAACTATGAAAAAACGAAGGGTAGAGGATGGATTTTCCACTCATTATGGAATGGTACATTAAATAACGTTGGTAAGGTAAAGTAATTACATGCAAAAAACGTTTGGATATCACCTCATCTTAAACTGTGTGTGCAAAAATATTAATGCACAGTAATAGCAAGTATATAAGTAGACGATTCATACAAAGATCTTTGTTTTTAACCGCCTTAATTACCCATAATCACCACCTGGAAAACTAACAATTCATTTTTAACTTGATTATCTGATCTTTGACCTAAAATGCAAAGATTAAACGCGTTGACGGTACTTTGTACCATTTGTGCTTGTACTTGTAATCATACTAATATTATAGATGCGAAAGTTTAGATGGATCGATGGATGTTTGTTAGAGTTTGTAGCCTAAACTGCTGAACGGATCTCAATGAAATTTGGCAGACATGTAGAGGATAGTCTGGAAGAACACTTAGGCTACTTGGTTTTGTTTTTATATCACGCGGACGGAGTCGCGAGCGAAAGTTTAGATGGATGGATGGATGTTTGTTAGAATTTGTAGTCTAAACGGCTGAACGGATTTCGATGAGATTTGGTATAGATGTCGAGGATAGCCTGGAAAAACACATAGCCTACTCACTTTAGTTTTTTTTTAATTCCACGCGATTGGAATCGCGGGCGAAAGCTAGTTGTTATATAAAAATATTACATCTCCATCTGGCGATTATTCATTTTTTAACTTTGAAGACACAAATTATTTCTAGTTCATGTATCGTCTAAACTGTCTTCTAAAGCAGTTCTCTCTATAGAGTTAGGTACAATAATTGATTAAGGAGTTCAAAGATTATAAAAAGGCATAGAATTTTACTGATATACGTTTATTTATGTCGGTTGTATTCATTTTCTTCGGAATGACGAAGATTAACGGGTTTTCGATTCGACGAAAACCGTTCAATTTACACTCAAGTGATACTTTTGACTACCTACTGTTAAACCTAGCCAAAAATGACAAAATAAAACACTTTATTAAAGTTCTTTGACTTGTTTAAGCTTTATCCTTATTGGTACACTAAAGTACTGATTATGCAAAATTACTAATATAATACTCGAAAATGCGAAAATTTCGACGGATGGATGTTTGTTAGAGTTTGTAGCCTAAACTGCTTAGCAGATCTCGATGACATTTGGCGTAGGTATAGAGGATAGTCTGTAAGAACATAGGCTACTTACTTTATTTTTAATTCCTCGCAGAAGGAGTCGAAATCTAGCATATACAATATGATCATACCTTAAAAATTGTCATATAGCATAAAATTACCATGTAAAACTATCAAATCTCATCAAGAAATTATAGGCTTACAGTTAATTGGGTTAAAACTTATAATCATCTGTTTCAGTATCGCGGCATATGCTCTCGGATGTGACGACACTGCCAGCCGTGCAGCTGGGCGACTTCCTGCTGCAGATCGAGCTGGACGACCCCAGCGAGTCGGTGCGAGAGATCGCGCGCCGGGAGCTGCGCGAGACGCCTGACGTCGTTATACCGGCCATCGAAGACTTAAAAAAACTCCTACAAGGTATGTTCAGTATCATTAGAAGACAAAGGAGTAACTGGAAATCGGTGAGCTTATCGCGCGATGTTACCAGCGTCACCAGTACCAGCGTTTGGGTAGGATAGGGCAAGGTGGTGCGAGTATCCAGTGTGCCGGACATAAAGGGGCGCTACGCGTTTTATCTTACAGGTCTGTATTTCATTTAGAGAACGCGCTAAGTATCTCGCCCTGGGCGCCAGTAATGCTAGAACCGGCCCTGCCGTCACCAAAATAAATAAACCAACTACATTATAACTTATGTAAATCATTTATTCTAACAACAAATCGTTTTCGTGATTCTGTTAGATCTTCATTCTTGAAAATTAATTTTCAGTGTCAAAACAAAAGTTTTAAATATTATAAGAGATAATTATTCTTCTAGAACAATGGACAGACAAGCACGAAATCATTAATATTCATAAATTCGGATATTGTCAACAAAATAATATGATCCTTCGTCTGTGTCGCTTGTCAAAGTTTAACTTTACCTAATATTTTTAAAACTTAACACAACAAAAAACGTGACGAGAAAAATACAAATCAATATTGACGTCATCTACCGAAAATAAATGCGTTTTGAACGATGTAAATAAAACACAGTTTTCAACAGTGTCTTCGGTACTTAAATACGAGATGACGGTCCGAATCCCAAGTACAAAAACTTGTTTGCCGTGAAATATCGGTCTTTGTCCAGTGCAAATATAATAAAAACACACGAGGATAGGCCACCGCATTTTGTAGGTATAGGGTTTTTTATGACGAACAAACAAACGCATTTAATCATTCTTCAATTATTTTTGAATTTTATTTTTCTTTGAATTGAATTTATTGCCAGTATTAACCAGAGTAATAACGCATATTAAACCTCCTTTACTACATTTTTTGCCGACAGATGATAAAGATCTACATGTACCACTGCACAGTGAAGCATGGCTTATCAGATTCTTACGACCCTGCAAGTTTTATCCTGAAAGCGCTTACGATCTGGTAAGTTTAATGTTGATCTGTCGATCATTTGAGATACTACACCTGCAGATAGGCCTGGTCCAGTTAATTTCTCCGAGTCAATATACTTTGGGCTTTGTTTTCTTTCTTATATACGATACCAAAAATAATATCGTTTATAACCTTTCGCAGATGTTTTTAGGTAGCATTACTTTGTTATATGGCCGCTTCCTCATTTGAAATTATTTATTTAACAAATAGTTGAATTGTTTCTTTCTCTTAAATAGACGCACTAAATTCAAGGCATTTCAAATTTATTTCAATACTTTCGTTTCCAGATAAAACGTTACTATACATTCAAAGTGAAACATCAGTCGCATTATGAGGGACTAACGCCGAGCAAGGAACAGAACATCTTCAATCAGAACATATTGACAGTACTGCCTACAAGAGACCAGTTTGGAAGACGAGTCCTCGTATTGGAACTAGGAAGTGCGTAAGATATATCTATCTCCCTCACTCTGTCGTTTTAGTATCGATTATAATATACTCTCTCTTTCCAATTAACAATTCTACAATGTAGTGTACCGTTCTTTTGAATACACTTGCTTTGATGTTAATGAACGATTTATGTGTGTGAAGCACAATTTCATTGTAAGATCGTATGCACATCTTTGACTAAACTATCGCACAACTTTTTAGTCTCTCTTTGATTCCTGCGAGCTTATATGGAGGTGCCACACTACTCGATTTTAGTTGTGCAACTAAACAATTGAAATAGCTACGAAACAATCGACGGTCGCAAGAGTTCTGAGATAGTTTAGTCAAAGGTGTGCGCCCGCTCTTACTCGTAATTATGACTTTTGACCTTTAAGTCAACCAGTTGGCTTTCGATGTATGTTTATGGACACCAAGAGAAGCGCAAGAAATCAAGTAAACGGTACTTGGTTGTCATATGAACTGGAATACATTTATTCTTGTAACTTAGTGTATGCTTTTGTTTGCATTTTTCAATTTGTTCCTTTATTTTTTTTGTGTAAATGAATATCCATACGTACATAATTATAATTGTGATTATTTCGTGATAAGATCTATCAAAGCGGAAGATGCAAATACATAATGTAAAACGATTATGTATTATACAAAATAATTTAATCTCATTATACGTTGCTTTTTATTTTCATAGTTCGACATATGTACATGTTTTTTATGATCATGTATAATAAATAGGATTATCATTTATTGTAAACGCATAATATCCATGAAAGCTATTAGCTATTCACGGAAATTAATTTTTTTTTTTTTTTATAATAAGGGAACAATTTTTTTTCAATTTAGTGCAATCTACCCATCATATAATTTGTCATTCGTAATTTGTTTACAATTTACTTTACGGACAATACAACTGAAAATTATCTAACTTTGAAGTGGCCTACTTTTTTGTTTATTATTGTTTTTTTAGCATTTAAATTAGAGTTCTTACAACTATCTCTATGCTGCTGCTGGAATATTCACGGCAAAAGTCGAATTTCTGATTTCGGAGCTACAGTCACGTGATTTCCGTTAATGACTATTGACGTTAAGGATTGGAACTTAAATGCTTGTATTTTCAACAGAGAAATGGAAGCACAACAAATGTTCATTGGACGAGGTATTCAAGGGGTGTGTGCTGTTCCTGGAAGCAGCAATGCTGGAGCCGGAGACGCAGGTGTGCGGCGCTGTGGTCATCTTCGATATGGACGGCCTCAGTATGCAGCAAGTTTGGCAGTTCACGCCGCCATTCGCTAAAAGAATCGTTGACTGGCTTCAGGTATATGTTACTTGAATGTCTTACGCGGAAGAGCGGGCGCACACCTTTGACAAAAAAAATTGAAGGTGCGCCCTTTATGGGATTCAAAGCGAAACTAAACAGTTGTGCAATAGTTTAGTTTCAGGTGTGCCCATGCTCTTAATGTTCACTAAGAGACTGTTTGAAAATCAATTTGTTGTTTTTCTGTGATTAGTTGAACTTGCCGAATACACACTGAAACTCCTTACGGCAGTACAGACTAATGAAGTGCGAAAGCAGTCCCGTATTAACATGGAGGAATAAGTTAAGATTTCAGACGCTAGTTTGTCTTCAACTCCCTCAACAAGTAATCATAAACATTATAAAAGTATAATTAACTCGATTGCGATTATGCGTTATTACACTTTTATTCTAATTAAATCTGCCAACATTGTTCATATAAAAACAAGAGCATAAAGACATACCTTTAACTAAAATATCGCACAACTGTGTGCGATTGTCGTTTGTTTTGCAGCATTCAATTGTTTAGTTACACAACTAATCGAGTAGCGTGCATAAGCTCATAGGACTCAAAACTAGACTACACAGTTTTTAATAGTATAATGTGCGCGCTCTAAAACAATTACTAGAAGACTAGAACAATGCGTAGTGCACATTTCAGTGTCCGTGGCAGTGACACACTGCGCCAATTACACGCGACACTGCACCGCACTAATTGCACACTACAGTAACTAAAATGCGGAATTATTTTTTATAACTTGTACATTTTATAGGAGTTTTTATGAATGGAAAATGATTTATATATTAATGTTTTATAGCTCGAGGTCATTTTTTATTGTTTTTAAGTTATTGTTAGGTTACATCTTTTTTTAAGTCTATCAAAAGAAAAAATATCAGACATCAGATTCTTATATTCTGTACTCATATAATTATTTATTTTATTTCAGGAAAGCATACCACTTCGAGTAAAAGGCTTGTACATAATAAACCAGCCGTTCATCTTCAATATGGTGTTCCAATTATTCAAGCCGTTCCTACAGGAGAAGTTGCGTTCTCGTATAATATTCCTGGGCAAAGACAGAGACCTATTATACAAACATATCAGTCCTAAATGTCTGCCAGATAACTACGGCGGCACTCTCACTATACCGCCCGTCACTGGACCACAATGGCTGGAACTTTTGTTACTCTGTGATCGGGAATTTAAAGGTTAGTGTTTGTATTAATACTTTATTACTTTGTTAATATCATAAATATTGAATTTATGTATTTTTGTTACTATGTATGTATACACATGTAGAACATATTCTGGAAGAACATGTAGGGTCACTGATTTAATTAAAATAATGATTACGCGCGGAAGAATACGCGGGCAATAACTTGTACAAAATATATCATATGTACATCCGAAAGTTATAGTATTATTGCCAAAGACTTTATTAAATCTTACTTCTTACTAAATATTATAAATGCGAAAGTTTGGATAAATGGATGTTTGTTAGATTTTGTAGCCTATACTGCTGAAGGGATCTTTATGAAATTTCGCATAGAGGATAGTTTGGAAGAACACATACGCTACTTACTTTTGATTCTTTTCTAATTCCAAGCGGACGGAGTCGCGGGTGAAAGCTAGTTTATGAATCTATGAACACAAATCTATTACAAAGATATATCTTGATATTGTTTTTTATTCTGTTTCAGCAATCAATTCCTACGGATATAAAAAGAAGTAACAGATCTGCTTGCATTTCATCGTAACGTGATATCTTGTTTTGAAAAACTACCTTCAGCTTGTAGTGTACAACTACTGTGTTACATTTTTCGGTGTATTTTTAATACAAAATATGGAAGAAAAAGCTGTTGCAATTACTAAATACTCGTATTCCATTCAAGTCGTAGTATTTTATATCAATTCTTAAATAATATGTACTCGATTTAACATTTTTATTAATAAAAAAGATAAATAAAGTTTTGTGTCCTTAAATATTTCGCTCTCAAGATAAATAATATTCTCAAATATATTTCAATATGTAAATTGTACTCGTAGTTCGAATAAAAATCAGATACATCTTTCGATAAGACGTATCGCGTGTAAATTAAATATATATTTTATATTAAGCGTTTTAATCATTTTTGTTATTTGTAATACAATTAGCTATACGTTTATTTATGTTTACTATATTTTATATGGTTATATATAATATATTTATAACTGTGATAATGAGAGTTTGAACTCTTATAATAAAACATTTAAAGACAAAAAGATTGCATAAAGTTCAATTTTAGGCGAAATTTAATACTTCAATTGACAATGTTATAAAATATGCATTTTTAAATGCTTGATACTAAAACAAAGGCTGTGATTTCGTGTTTAAAAATTATTAAAAAGACAAAATCTTCATACAAATTAATTATATTTTTAGTGTACATCCAAAATACACATGAAATAGTAAACTGCTTTGTAATGAAATGTCAAAATATAAATATTTTGTTTGTGGAAAATAGTTAAGCTCGTAGAAATCGCTTTTTTAGATGTAGAACTCAATATTTTGTATATGGTGATTTTATTTTTAAGGGATATTTTAAGACATTTGAACAGGGATATAAATGTTTATATTGTAAATATTGTGATAAAATCTGAAATATGTTATAAGATTTCAATAAATATATAAACAATAATATACATATTGTAATATCACAGTATATATTTTTTTAATAAAACTAAATTGTTGAAATAATTTCTTTTATTTCCGTAAAAATCCTGCCGACACTTGTAAAACAAGATAATAACAGATTTTAATAATATTATATAGGTTTTAAATATATTTTTTACGAATCACAGTAGTCACTTATAAAATTCAATAGATACATCTTAAACTCTGGTCACATCATAAAATTATAGTCATACAATCCTAATCTACCCATACCCTGTGATTATACCCATAACACAGTAAAATAAGAATGTAAGAAAACATTGAGACTCATTAATTTCGCTTATTTAATTATTTTTGAAAAGAGAGTAACTAATGGGGGTGTTTCCTAATTTTTGGAATTGCTTTTATTATGTAGATAAACCGTATCTGAATATGAAAAAAAATATAATAAAATCATATACGCAACATTTCATTATAAAAACACTTAACTAAAAACAACTTCTCCAAAGACCGCGAAAACGCCTCATGACGTCACTTTCTTGCTTACAAACCTCGCGTCGCGGTCTGTCAAATTTGAATATTAGCTACTCAAATAACTTTTACTATTTTTTTCGTCATATTGATCGAAAATTTGCTCGTAAAATATGTCGTAAATATAAAAACACTTAATAATGGAGTCCTCATAATATAACACACGAAAACTCAATTCTTATAATCATTTAAAAAAATATATAACTACAAAATGCACTGACATTTACTGAAGTTGGTCACACTGCCATGTTATATGCGAGAAAGTGACGTCATTGTTGTTTGAGATCGAGTAATGGAGGGTAAAAAATATTGCAACGTTTTTAATTTATATTTAATTTGAGACAAACAATCAAGGTCTCTAAATGTTATTATAGGTTATAAAATGCTGTCTTTAAAATATTAAACATAACTTTATTTGGATTTGTAACATTAGGAAACATCCCCATTCTGTAAGATATTCTGGAAATTACTTTTAAGAGAGCTACCGTCGTTTTAATATTTATTGTTATAATTATCAATCTATTCCTAATATTAAATATTGTAATTTCTTGTGGTAAAGAGGTTTTTGAAAATATCCATTGGACTTATCTCTTGTTGTTATTTGACACGTGACCGTAGGAATTTGCAACTGAAAAACAAATACAATCATTTTAAATCACGTGACGAAATTCATCAATAGATGGCGCTAGTAGTAATTTTCAAGTTCACTGAAGCGCTGGTGAAAAATCACAGGTTTATTTAGTTAGCGTATATATAACAGTTTATATAAATCTAGTTTTAAAGTTGATTTTGTATTGTTAAAATATAAACGAAAAAAGTATTGGGTATGTCGAACCTTTGAAATTCTCTTCATAGTGATGTAACATTTTCCATAGAACATCGCCAGTTATCTCCGGCTCGGGAAGTAGTCCTCCGTGACGTTTCCTCAAGGCTTTAGGGTCGACGTGTGTCAGTAACGACTGCTTATCAGAGCCGTGGAAGAAAATACGCGAGCGCAACTTCTCGCGCAAGAATGGCTTGAAGATCGCAAACAGCATGTTGAAGATGTACGGCTGGCTTACGATGTGAACTGCCTTAAGACGAATCGGTATACAGTCCTGATTAAAAAAAAGTATGTATTAAAGAATGGGGAGAAGTACAAGAGATGAAATGAGAGAGACTGCGTAAAAGTTGACACGAACAAGGGTGTGACGACTGAGGTGATGGAAAATATGTTCTTCAAGGAGGAAAGATTGATGCGGCAACCATACCTGATTATGACGAATGAAAGAACTGAAGAGTTACTACTAAATTACTAAATATTTACATACATATATCTAATCTAAAAAAATGTCACAAATCATACATTTTGGACACAAAAATACAAAATTTTGACCTATCAACTTCGAATTATGGTCCTTAACCTTAAAATAATAATACAAAAAGTATACAATCGTTAGGCCAAGACAGTGATTGATAACTCGACTGAAACTAGATATTTAAAACTCCATTAGATGGCGATGCCTACATCACTTGACATTGAAATTATAAATAACCGGTAATCTATAACCATGACATTCGTAAAATATAGTTTTCATAGTTTTCCATAAAAAAAGGAAACTACTGAATGAAAAATAATTTAAATCGTAATTTTGTTTTACAAATGTATTGATCACCCCAAATATTAATATCTACACAGAGTGCAGTTTGCAGTCGGAGAAACCAATTACCCTTCCCACTTAGTATAGTATTTAGTAAATATGTTATAACATATTTTCGACCTGTTGGAATCTATAAATATATCAACAAGTTAGGAAATAACGTCCTCAACTGATTACTAACCTGAATCCAGTCTACCACCATTTTGGCAAAAGAGGGCGTGAACTGCATGACCTGTGAGAAGGAGAGGCCCTTCATGTCCATTAACACGATAACGCCATTGACCTGAGTCCGGGGTTCAGACATCGCCGACTCCAGCGCCAACTGCACGCCGCGAAACACGTCGGATAATGGAACTAATCGAGGTTGCCAGCGCTCTGTAGACAGAAATTAGTGCAATTACATGATTGTTTTTTTTTTAATTTTCTAAGGTGATAAATGAGCAAGCGGTCACCTGACACCCCATTGGCTAAACGACTTGCCCTTCATATTCATTCCCACCTGCTTCAAATCTCCATCATTTCGTTATAAGAAAAAGGTGGGAAGGGAAAGTGGATAAAAATTATGCCTGCACTTATCACAGTGTAAGCGGAATTGGTTCCACTTGACGCCTGTCTACGTGTTCGTGGCCATTCTTGCAACATACTGTTGCTGGCGTCTACTACTGTTGAATATAATCTTTACTTATTTTTACTAACCTATAACAAGTATGATGTTTTTGAAACATATGCCTAGGTCGATTGTACATTTGTTATTATCATTGAGTTTATTAATATTTATATAACAAATCTGTGGAGGATCCATTTTTTGTATACCAATTTTTTTGTCATTTCATAGCCAGTTAATTGTTAAAATACAAACTCCAGTTTTTCCAGTTATGTTAGTTAAATAAAATCTGGTTTTGGTACGAATTTATAATGAGTTTAATGCGTTGATATACCATGTGTTTACCTTGTCGACTAATGATGCAAAAATAAATATTAAGTATAAATATTTGTATCTTAGCGCTGTATGTAAATTTGTTTTAGTCGGGGTTAGGTTACAACCCTAACTAACAAACATAGAGCATGTTAGTACTTTGTTTAACATTTAGAAAATATCTCAGTACAAATTGCATAATATTTACTTCATAAAGCAATCGTAGCTATGTTTTAATATTTACCTCCAGACTCCACAAGCATGATGCGCCTTCCATGTTGGTCTCTAGGCGCCAGGATTGATATAATAGAGTGGTCGAAAGCAGGCTTCACTGCAGTGGGCACCAGGTTTGAACAATAACTCTCATGCGATTGCCTGAATTTGTAGTACGCTTGGATCTAAAAGAGGTAAAAAATGTTATTTTAAAAAGTATTTGCCAGAGCCGGCTAGGCCCATTGCAAGACTTCAAGAGGGCCTAAACAAAGTTCCTATGAATATATTCCTAAGTTTTCGTATGATATAAAGAAGTATCTTTTTAGCTGTAAGTGATTAAAAGCTTTGCAACTTATACTCGTATACAAAAACTGCTTCACATAAATCCCAAAGGCGTTTACATATTATGTGCGTAGTGTGTATAACAATTCAAATTTTAAATAATGCGTTAGTGATGCTCTTAACGTTAATTACTATTATTTTTATACCTCTAAAATCTCATGTGAATTTGTTTGAATGTTATTTTATTTTTATAATACACGAGAATATCTCTATAGTTGTATATGCCACGTCACATAATTCCAAGAGCCTATAAAACCGGTTTAAATCAATCTTGCCTAATATAGTGGTCTATATAAATCTTGATATAAACATTAGTTTAGTTAAAAAATTCCGTATTAAACATAAGCCATCGGTGTTTAAGCACTTGACTTGTAATCTACAGGTCTTGGGTTCGAATCCCGCCATGTACCAATGTCATTTTCGATTTTTCGAATTTTCATATGTACATAATTTACCCGACGTTCTTACGTTGAAGGAAAACATAGTGATGCAACCTGCATGTATCAGCGAAGAAATTCAAAGATATGTGTGAATTCGACCAACCCGCACTGGACCAGCATAGTTGACTATGGCCTAGTCACCCTAATTTAGGGTAGGCTGATGATGATGATGAAACATATATTCTACTCACTCTTTTGAAGGCGCTTTCTGGGTGAAACTTGGAAGGTCTGAGGAATTTCATCAAATAGTTATCGTCTTGTAGCGGTACGAAGAGCGAGGTATCCTCTGGAATATATTTTTTAATGTTACAATAGATACTTATATATTAAGTTTTTATATGTTTTTTATTGACATGCAAGTACATTAATATTTTCGTAAATACATTCCTGGGCTACAAGTTAAATAGCTTGCGTGATTATCAAAATAAGGGATATATTAAAATTGTTATTAAAATATACTTTAATTAACTACTTAATCTTATTAGTCAGATAAAGTAATCTAACAATGAAGTAATTAACAGGTGGGATCGTGGTCAAGCGCTAGCTTAAGAAACAAAAAAAATAACAATTAATGGAAACGCAATCATTTATACGTTAGTCTATTAAAAGTAAACAATGGTTTTATAAGAAAAAAGAGATTTAATTATATTTTTATTTTATGTCAAGAATGCGACAAAAGATCAAGCAAATCTTCTGTTATTATTGAACAAGAAAATGGAGCAAGTATAATTTCCCATTTCTATATTTTCCTTAGAAAAGAGTGGGATGAATCGTATAATTCATTAATTAAGACATAAACTGCAACAAGTAAAAGCATAATTCTTCATCTGGTGCGGCGGGTCAAAATGCGCCCCCAATAACATTTCCGCCTGTGCGTGGCAGGTCTTTCTAAGCCCACCAGCACTAGGATAGATTAAATTGCTATAACTTTATGAAAACATAATAACATTTTATGTAATGTAATGTATACACCTGAGATAATAGTTTTGCACTATCGAGAAGGAACATAATTTCACCCGCACCAGCTTAACTACCGCGGCAGGTCGATATCGGCCTGTTACGTGAACGTGTTAAACTGCATCCAAGAGTAAAAATAAAGCGCGAGACATAGGAATAATCCGCTAAACATGAAATATGAACATTCCTCATACATTTTAATAGAATATTTCCAGTTAGTTTAGAAGTAACATTAAATCTAAACATTAACATTTATTACATTGATAAGATCTGTGATTTTGCCAAATGCAGTCCAAAGGTTTACATAACCGTGAAGGCTGTTAGAAAAAAAATATTGCAAAAAGTCTGTGTAGAACCAAAATATCATCTATTAGTACTATTATGTTTTATTTCTTTAACTCATGTATTGTAGTAAATTAAACGAAAAGTAATGCGTGATCCCTATAAAAGAAATAAAGGAGTGCAAGTAATCCGTGTTGCTTAGCAACATTTTATCGACATTCAAAATTGTCTATCACATTATCAGGTCAAATTAATGTTAATGTTCTTAAGATAAGATTCATGTTTGCATGTATGTTTGAACATCTAATTTGTCCTACTTTAAGAACTCGATTGAGCTACATGACCATAATCAATATTGACCAAAGTCCTAATAAATTTGAAAGTAAGAATTACATATGCTGATACATTTTTTACGCGGATCAATGTTATTTATTTATTTGTTATATTAATATTACGTTTGTGTGTTATGAAGATATTAGTTTGCAATGCCAATTATAAAATTTGACTCATTACGTTTGACAAGTTAAATTTACGCCTACGATTTTAATTTGTTTTTTTTTGTGACTGCATTACCACTGTTTGCCTATAAGAGGCATTTACAGATTCACCGGGCTTGAGGTAGCCGAGCGCAGATGGCGCTTAGCCTGAACCTCGTATGAGTAGCTAAGCTCGAGGGCTCCCTCAGGTGCCTCGGCACGGGCCATTACTTCATTATTACCGGAATTGGAGGCCGCCGAGCTCTTAGATCGCTTCAGTGGACGCTCCATGGACTACACTACGATTGTTCAGCAACTAGCTTGGTGTATTAAAAGTTGACACTCGGAACCCGTTTTTAAAACCAATTACTAATATATTATATTATACACATTCTAATATTTTACACAGTGTGTATGAATAAGTGTATTAATTATTTATTTCTCGTCATATTCACCTGATTGATTGCAAATTAACATATTTATAAAATTACTTCATAATAAACTCGAGATGAAAACCCACTTTATTGGCGGAAAAAAGAATCTAATTGGTATCATCAGACTGTAATTTATGCGCATATTAAATTAAAACATGAACAGGTTTTAACTACTTTAGAATAATATACTCACTTCTTAGCATTTCTCTCAATTCTGCGACAGCCTTTTCAACAATTTCCGGCGTCTCTCTCAATTCTTTCTCAGCTTTTTCTAAATACTCCTTTTCTGTGATCGGCATTCTCTCTAACTGTATATGATTCTCTCCCCACATGACAAATGGAGTACCTTCTCCATCATATTGCAACTCCATTGTTATATCTACAGTTATTGTGACACCGGCGGTTTTTTAAACGTCTCAAACGTTACGACAGACCGCGGAATGAGGGCGTCTTAAAACCAGCATCCGTCGAAGTTACACCACATGAGACCCTTCACTTCACCTAACCAGGTGGAACACTAAATTATTATATGATATTAACAACGGATTGTCTTATAAACGAAATAAAGCGATAACAAAAACAACACTTCGATTATATCAAATTATGCTGATAAATGCTAATATCTTATTACAAAAATATTATAAATTATTTTGTGTATTTAATAAATTTTCACAGATAAAATAAGGTTTTTTAAAAATAATTTTAATCGATTTTTATATTGTACAGATGAGATGCGCGTGACTGATCTTAAGTCGGACTGGCATGAGCCTCTGCGCAACATAACGGTCGCCACCACCACTCCCATTGCTGCTAAATCAAACCTCTCACTTGGTAACCAACGAATTATGGTACTGTAATTTATAAATGTCATCTGTGTTTTAACCTAGATTAAATAATTCAGATATTCCTCAGAGAAAAGGGTAAAAATACGAGCGTTTTTAGTTAATTCATAATGTAGCTAGTAATTATAACATACTTACATTTCTAATGATTCGATAAACAAGTTGCTTTACAAAACAACTAGCTTTCGCCTACGACTTCGTCCGCTCGAAATAAAAAAAAAAAGAACTTGAGTTGTCTATGTTTTCTTCCACACTAGCCTCTACATCCATAACAGATCTCATCGAAATCCGTTCAGCCATTTAGGCTACAAACTTTAACAAACATCCATCTCTACTTTCGTATTTATAATATTCGTATAGTGTGAGTAACAATTTTGTTTTTGATGGCATTTGTAGTTTCCAAGACGTCTCTTTACTAAGACAAGGTGTCAATGTCAATGACCCACAGAAATATGATTCATTTATTGTTATAAAAAACATATAAAACCTACAACAAAACTATCTGCTAGCGGCTGTACGTTTTTGGTCGTGGATGCAAATAAATTAAAGATTTCCAAGAGATTTCGGCATAATTGAGAAGACGTTTGCCGCAATTTATGTTATGTAAGGAAATATAATAGTCCAACAAAATTACGGAACATCTTTGTTTAATTTGCATATGAGTTTACATATCTTGTAATGTACTATGCTGTTATATAATTAACGAGTATATCGACGAGACGGAGAAATGTAACAATTAAGGACAATGAAGTCTGCAAATTGACCGTGATCTCATTTACAAATATTCAAGATAGCAAATGACTAAGATGTAATTATATGTTTTTCGCTTTTTAACCACAGAAATGTTAGTAATAAAAGTTCAGTACTATACAAATGTTGTTTTGATTTGTTAAAACCAAACATCAATAAAGTAGTTGCAATAAATTTTAAACGTAGTGTTATAATTTTAGCAGGCGCTTGGATAAACCTATGCTAAAATTAAGTAACTCATATCGTTTGTTTGTTTTATAAATTCTGAGAGTAATAAATAATTTTAAAAATTCTTTCATCGCTCGATTGATTTATTATACAATAGCAACGTTGGCTATATTGTAATTTTCCGTACTTTAATGCACAGTCGATTTAGTAGAATCTTAAATCAAAATTTATTAAACATTTTTGACTTTAGTAAATACAGGCAAAAACTGTAATGACCAAAATAATGGATATTTTCCAATGACAAATATTGATAACAAAAAACATGGGTATGGTCTTTTTAGTCGATCTATACTATTATAATAAAGCGAAAACACACACTTCTTTGTTGCCTAAGATATCAGCAATTACAGCATATTTTTGAATATCATCTTTTAATCATTTTTTAATAAAACGCCCCACACTTACGTCTCGCTTTAGGCTATATATTTTCACGTCATTAAAGTTAGGGGGTAAATATTTTTGATAAAAACCCTAATGTGGGAAAGAGACCATAAGTTGCTGCCGACATTAAGGAAGCAAGCTTGCAATGGTTTGTCATCGTCATGTCATTTTGACAAATGTCAAATAATCAATTGCAAATGCAATTGATAATTTGAATTATTGAAAATTGAATTTGAAAATTGTTTTTATCAAAAATATTTACCCCCTTAAGTGTGTCAACACATGTAAACAATAAAATAAAATTTTCATAATTTTATGCGGATGAAGTGGCACGGAAACAGCTAGTAATTAAATAAAACAAATAATACTGTCATATAAATTTAATATCAAAATTTTGAGCAATATCATATCGTATCGTTACTTCACAAATTAATAACTTCTCTTACATAAACATCTCTTACTCACCTCCGAGGAGTTTTAATACCCGAAGCTATTATAAATTACATCAAATAAACTTTATCAGACATACCTTTTAACAATCATGATTGGCCCCTATTTTTGTCTTAAAATTTTACTCTACAAATATAAATGTTTACTTAAAAAGTCCTATAAACATACTCAATCGTATCAAAAAGACTAAGGAACAATTTCATTACAAATTTAGAAATGCATAATAATATAAATGAATTCAAAACTATCTTAATTATCTATATTTTGGTGAAATGTCATTGAAGTGGCACAGCACTATCACATTCACAGCCTCGATGTCTTTTCATACGCTTCACTACATATTCAAGTTTAAAAAAAAACTAATCTAATAAAAAATAAATATACCCAAAAGCTATATATTTACTAAATGATTAAAAGCATCTGTCATGATACCCCTAAGATTCGAACACAAAAAAAAAATCGTTTTCTTTATTTTAATGAAACCATCATTATCATTTTAATGATATCGTTAAAATTTTAATGAAACTGCTAAAACGTATTGTTATACCTAAGTTTTTGGTTGCATGCTTTAGAATAGTGAAATATTAATCTACAAAACTACTATTAGAATTTAAAAAAAAAATTAGTTGTCCAATAGCTATTAGGAACTATTACTTTTGACAATACATTGTAGATTTTATATAAATATCATTAAAAAGCATATTGTTTGAACTTTGTTATGATTACATCTTTGCGATTGAGCGTAATTAAGGGCGTTTCCCATTGGGCCGATTAACCCAGCGATGGGGGAAAAATCCCAATTAAGATCGCTGGGACAATGGGCCCATCGGGAAACACTCGTACTAGTTGGCTTAATAATAAGTTTAAATTGAAAACCTAGATGCAACACGAAATTTAGTTTAACTAATAAAATAATCCAATTTCTTTCGACTAAATATCATATTCCAGAACCTAAATTGCCAAATCGAAAAGAAAAAAACAACTATATAATTCATTTTTTTTGTTAACCTGTTGATGGGTATGGGTATGGGTAGTCGTAGTAAACAATATTTTTTAAAATTATACTTTGTGCATAGTAAAATTACTACAGACAATATTTCCGTCTGCAAATTAAAAAGACAATGATTCTAAGTCTATGGTTTCTTGACGAATCCGTACGTGTTCCAATTGTCTATGTGAGGCATGACGTGCTGGATGACGGGGTACCAGTCTGCGCCGGAATAGTCTATGGCAGGCAACTGGCCATCATAGTCCGCCGGCAGATGGCTCGGCGATAAGTGCTTATGGAGAGACGACATATCCGAGCCGTGGAAGTAGATCTAAAAGAGGTTAAACACAATAGTTAACGAAAATGAAACCAAGATTGTTGAAATAAATCAGAAGTCCTTTAAAACCGTTTCAACAGAGCTTTGATTATGAGAGTGATTGAAACTTACTCTATTCCTTAGCTTATCCCTGATGAAAGGTTTGAACATTCTCCAGACGACGTCAAAGATCCTAGGTTGCTTGACAAAGTGCACTTCCTTCAGCCTAAGCGGCATCGCGTCCTGGATAAAGGTGAGGAGACGCTTCGAGAAGGATGGGGTCAGGCCCATTGTCTGTAAAGAATAAAGTATCAATTACGGTTTTTGTTCGTTTTGTTTGAATTAATTTATGAAGACTGGAAAATAAATGCAAGTGAAATCTCCTAAAATAGAACAATAATAACGTTCCTATTTATTGATATTTTAATAAGGTTCACGATGCTCGAAAGTAGTATGAATTGGAAATATAGTCTTTTTAATAAACTCAATGCTTCTAAGGAGGTTATCGTCCTACTTTGGGAAACAGGTAAATCAGGTACAAGGCAACTTCTTGCGGATGTTGTGCTATGTAAATTGACGGTGCTAAATTAAATTTGCAAGATTTTAATAACTTTTATAGGCCGTTATATTACTTAATTATTTTTGATTATCGAATAATTGAGAAATATTTATAACCTACATAACTGAAATGGTAAAGGTCATATTAAAGCAAACAAACCCGCATTAAGAATGAACACTTATGTATTTCTTCCACGCCCATATGTACCGACGTCCTTACGAAGAAGTGTAAACCAACTTCCCATAAAAATACACGTTTACTTTATTACAGGATATTTAACTAAAATATTAATTCACAGATAGCACTTAAGCGATATTTAAAACGCGTAGTTACGACGATTAGCAAGATAATAAAAATTATATTAGTCGTTTGGCATTGTTTTTCGGGATGTTTTGTTAATTATCTAGGATTTTAAAATACTTTTAGGATCACTTAAAATATCTTATAATTGTCTGTTTACGTTTGGGACGAAAAAAATTGACTTGCATGCCGAAGGCCTAAATTTTGTCCCTTTCACTTGCCACTCATTTTTTATACGGAAAAGATTGGAACGAAAAGCGGATTTGACGGCAGGGGAGAAGCAGAAAAATTAGAAAGATTTTCCTTATGCAAGTCTCCTCCGTCAATTAAGAATAGGAACTTTATCTCCAACGATGAGGTTTATGGGCAGCGGTCATTTGCTTTTCAGGCAAATTTCGATGGTCGCTCGTACGATTCCCACTTAATCATATGTAGAAATGGCAAGGAAATGTTCTATATTACGTATTTAATCTTTTACGATTATCATTTACGTAATTGCAATATACCCTCTATGTGACCTATTTGCATTTTGATAATATTTATCTGCCAAATAAGTGACGATAACTCCTGCGCATAAAAATCATTCCAATAGCCTCGGACGTGACGGCCCTTGAGCGCGAAACCTTTGCTGTGGTACATTTTCCTCCACAACATAGGGAAAGGTACACCAACATTGTCACTTAGAGGTAATCATAATTTAGAAGGATAAAGGACTAAAATGTACCGGAAATATAACATTCTTCGCTAGTAACGTTCAAAAGGTTAACAGGATGTAATCTATGAGGATTCAATAATGTGAATTCTTATTGTTTTCGTGGGATGTTCTATAATGTTAATATCATTTGTAAAAAACGTGAGATAAAGTGAACTATTGTAATAAGAGGGAAAAGTGATTCACCAGAAATATTTTTAAATTAACAAGTATAAGCTTGAATTGTACTTTGTCTATGGTTAAGAGTTTTAATAATTATTGGGATTCCTTTCAATCTAACTTATATCTTACTAATAGTTTAGATGAATGGATGGATGTTTGTATACTAAAATGCTTAACGTATCTAGATAAAATTTGACACAGATGTAGAGGATAGTCTGGAAGAACATATAGGCAACATATTTGTTTTTTAATTCAGCGTAAACGGAGTCGCGGGCGAAACTAGTAAGATTACATACTTAAACAATGGTTAACAATCACAAACTCCGAGGGACAAACGTCTCGATTTTTATTAAAGTCACGACAGGATATACTATTTTCCGTACAATATTTTCCTTTGCAAAAGGTAGTACGTGATACATTTGCATTTAAATTTGTTTATACTCGATGTGTTTTTCTTGATTTTAAAAGTCATTGTCTTTATCTTAAATAACCTGTATCTATTTCTTCATTTATTTTACGTAGATTTTACACGATGAACTAAACGTTGTTTAAATTATATTTGTAGTGCTAAATAAAATCATTAGGGTATATTAAGTTAATAAAGAAACTGAATTTTACCCAGGAGCGTATTCATCTGCGTGTAAAAAAAAAATTATACAAGTTGACAAATGTTTTCGTGGAAATGCCTCGGCAGTGTGAACTTACTTTTACATTCAATCGATCAATTATCGATCAAACACAAGTCAATAGATGCGCTAAACGCGTAAAGAATTGAATAATTCACTCGGCATTGTTTTGTTTTTCACTTACTAACTATATCTAAGCCAAAAGGTCAAGTCCTTTGGCAATGACTTTGACTTTTTTATTGCAACAGAGTCAATGAAACGTTCATCATAATATCGGAAAATAACCTCTGCGCAGCAATTAGATAACGCACGATAATTATTATCTATACAATTTTAATCTATTTATTAATTCAGGGTTATTTCATATCAAAAATCCTGTTCGCATTTCACATACCACAAATAAAATGTGTGAGTAATTAAAAATTTCGTAACTACTTAGAACAAAGATAATGTGAGACAATGGAAGAAATATGGATAAACATACTTTGTGCATCTTTGTTATAAAAACACGACGGCGCGGCGCGCAGTGCAGGCGCAGTGTCGACAAATCGTACCTCAATTCTTTGTTAAGGGTATAAGTGTGAGTCATTACTTTTAAAGTACACTTGGTCTGTAGTCTATAACAAAGGATGTCTTGTTAACAAGAAAGAAATAACCAAACACATGCAATTCATGATCTTGGCTATCTCCTCTTAATCTTTAGTTAATTTAAAGTGTTATCTTAGTCTTCTTTAAGCAGACAGAAGAGAAATTAATTCTTAACATAATAAAACAGTTACTTCTTAATTAAATACTTCATGTTCGTTTAATTCAAAGTTACCTAATTGTAAGCACAGTGTTCTATAGTGTTTTGAAATATTTAAAAAGTAATAAATAATTAAACAATTAATATTTATTTATAGTACGATCAAGTTTCATATGAAGTTCGATAGATATAAAGTAACCTTTTGTGGCAACTAGAAGTGTCTACGGAGTACCATCAAATTTCAATTTTCAACCATTATATGGAAGAGAGTTATTTTTATTACCAACTACATTATAAACAAAAGCATTATCATAAGCAAAACCGTATTCATACAACGTATTTTAGATGTCAAGGTAGGTTAGTTACGAAAAAAAAAAACATTTGGGACATTTGCCAATTGAAATAAACGCACTTTTGTTTGTAACATTCCAAAAAAAATAATTTAATGTAACACAAAAGATTCTAAAAAACTAACTTTTCGTTTTTGACGAGCATTGGTGGCACTGATTTTTTTAATACTATAAATAAATTAACTAATGTGTTACAAGAACAATGCACACTGACGCAATAAATATATGCACAGTGCACACATAGTCCATTTTGGTTTGTTACTACACTCGTATTGAAATCGACGTTGCAAAAGCGCGAGCGCGGTGAAAGTGATTTCCACAGAGTAAATATACCATAGATATTTCGTTTTTTTTTTAAGATTAAAGTAAAAGGAACCTTACATATATTTGCTGTCTATACTACTCGTAATAATTATTTCGACTCTAGTTTTACGTCTACAGTCGCATTTTAATAATAAAATACACAGTCTTCTAAAAAGTTGCTTACATTCTTTTATGTCGTTAAATTTTATATTTATTATTAGACTATATTAAACTTTATTTTTATTATGTAAATACAGACATTTTATAGGAACTAATCAAGACTTTCTGATTAACAAGGAAATTGCGCAAGAAGTTTTTGCATGTCTTTCTCAAACAGCGTATACTGTAACCACATTGAAAAATTTTAATGACTTACATATGAGATAATAAAACATGTATAGTTAACTCATTTAATGTAAAGAAATGAATAAGATGTCATTTTCGTAATATTTATGGCGTATAAAATTATTGCTTGCGTGCAAACAGTGTGTTGAAATAAAATAATTTTTGATTAAAATAAATCGCGGTGCAACACGATAGGGAAAACAAATTAACGAACGAAATTTATTTTTTTCAGTTTCTTAGTTATTAAATTACTTAACGCACCTAAACCTTAATTAAAACATATGGTAATTAAGACAATCCGATGTTTTCTTTAATTAATTACAATGTTATTGTCATATGATTCGGAAAAATCATACTAATTTTATAAATGCGAAAGTTTAGATGGATGGCTGTTTGTTAGAGTTTGTAGCCAAAACGGCTTAAAGGATTTCGATGAAATTTGACATAGACGAAAAGATAGTCTGGCTACCCACTTTTGTATTATTTAAACTCACGCGGACGGAGTCGCGGGCGAAAGTTTTTTTTTTTTTATAAGAAAAGCGGGCAAACGAGCAACGGATCGCTTGATGTTAAGTTATCCGACGCCCATGAAGTTAGTATAGTCATATTGTTACAAAGAGTGTATCGCTCCATTGCAACACGCATGATACAATCAATTAACACAAGCAAAGGTCAGTGACGTTAATCTATTATTTACTTTAATTCATTCCGTACTGAAGAATCGACCTTGACTAAACTACGAGTTTCAAAGTTATCTCTCATTTTTTTTTATTTAACACCAGTATTTTAGAACATCATGACAAATAAGAATGCCAGACAGAATAAGTGTATCGTAAAATCTCGTTGTACCATCGACTACATATAAAGGCTTATGTAAAACTGACCATATAGGTCATGTTATTTTTTATTAATTTATTACGGCATGATATGATAGATCTGTAGTCAAAGTGATTTGAATAAACCTCTTAATTATTAGGTTTTGGTTATTAAAATATTGTTACACTGTTATCTATGAAAATACTAATTTCGTTGAAACACGCACCTGTTATAATCTACAATGACTAATGACATACGGGAGTTAACTGCATCTAATCTTTGCGTCAGACAAATCGGTATTATTGATAACTATTAAAAAATGTTTCAATCGTTATTTCAAGTCTATTAAAATACATTTATAAAAGAATTACCTGTGACCAGCCCATGTTGTAGAAGTCCATCAAGACGACCGTCCCTCTGACTTGAGACTCCGGCTCCAACATGGCGGCAAGGTGGATCAGATAGAACAATTTGAACAGCTGGTCTGCATTCACTTTCTTCGGGTTCCATGATCCTAAAAAGGTCAAATGTTGAGACCATAGGAGAAATTACGGATATCTGCAACCATACTGCAGTGACTCGCTCAAAATCACCGTGAGATGATGATATCAGAGTGATCATCAACGGTCATATTTGCAAGTACAAATAACTGCAAGTGTGTTACCTACAAGGAATTCGTTCTCTACATTATGTACCTTTTATAAAAATCAGATAATATGTTTTTTTATAAGGTATGTCCTAAACAGTTAAACAGATATCCATGAAGTTTTGCATAGATGTAGAGCATAGTGTGGAAGAACACAGGCAACTTGGCCATTTTTTTTCAATTTCGAGCTACAGCTAGTGTTATTACTACGTACACGAGGTATATAGTTTTGTGTTGAATAAATGTATTGCTACATGTTATTGTATTTAGGTTTTGTTTATCAAAACAGTCCGTCGAAGGAAACCGTTGCCGCAATATTTACAAATATCTTAAGTTTAACATAAGTTACTTGTCCATCAGCAGTCGGCGCACTTAAGTATTACACAATGATCACTTACCAGACGCGTAATCATTGAGTTAAATCGTTAACTTGTTCTAATTGCTAAACACAGTCATTAACATTATACGACCAACACATAAAATACACTCAGGAATAAAAACTTTACTTGTAATTGAAAACATACTAATAATTCGTTAGAAAACCGTATAATTTTATAACCAATTAAAATCATTCTATTAGTAATTTACCCAAGGGATCGATTTTGAATTACGTCTGATTCTAATTGTTCGTATATTTCCGTTTTTGTATTTATTATAGATATAAAATAAGGACATCAAAACAATCGCAATCGGAAGGCCGGCCAGCAATATCCTTACCTCCAACGTTAACAATTAGCAACCTCCTTCCTTTTTGGTCGCGTCCCTTCATTACATTCACCACTTTATGTTCAAGGAAGGCCTCTTTCTCGTGTTCAGGCACCAAACCATTTAGAAGGCTCGCATTGTCGCGTTTGAACTCAGCAATACGCCGCATCTAAAACAAGAACATTTTTTACATAATCAGCAATAAGTATAACGATTAACATAATAAGGTAACAGTCCGTAACTTTTTCGCGTGACCGTACTACTTATATCCCATTGCCATGTGATTGCTATCAAAATAGCTTCCCGTAGCTAAATTACGAAACCACGTTTCGCAGCATACGAGACGCTCCTACACCGCAGATCGGAGCCTCATTACGTGTCATTTATTTTTTACAGAAAGCAATTTATTCCATCTGTCTTTGCGACAGTAAAATGTGCACCTAACGACAAAAACATCTCATAAAACATGATTTAAGTCTTCTCTTTGTTTTGGTATTACTCATACGTGTAAAAGTGAAGGTAGAAGCGAGACAAGACGAAAATATGTCAATATTTTCAGTCTCAAGTCTCGCAATCGACTTGTTATATCATAACAGGCGAGTTTACGTTTTGTTTGCAAAACATAACGATCTCATTTCCTCGTTACTTTCGATAATGCGCTCGATGAATACAGACAATATGACTATGAGAACTATTCTAATGTGTTTGACGAATATGTTAAGTCAGTATTACGTCTTTTTTATAAATATACAATGTTATTTTTCATTATGATTTATTATCACCTTGCCTCTATAGTACACAATACATGTAGATAACTTGTACTGCGATGTTTGCAATAAATATGTTAAGTTGTAAAATAGTTTAGTTTGACTTTTTCCTTTTTATAAATAAAAATGTCTTGAGGATATATTCACGGATGGTTACGAAAGTCAGTAGTTAGGTTACTAAAGTTTAATAAAGCAATGACAATTTTTTGAAAAGGTGTTTTGGTTTAACGAACTCGTGTCACATTCGTGGCTCGTGGCAATAAATGCAATCGAAGCAAATACTATTATAATATTTACGTAAATAATTCATTTCTAAACAGGTAGAGCATCGACCCAACTAAACAGGCGCTAATTTGTATCGGACGCTTCGAAATCAATTTTTTACAGATAACTTGTAAAAACAAATTGTTAAAAATTATTTTTAAATAGTCTTATTTCAGTTACAATTAATTGAACTTATTCATTTAACTTATACTCAGATTATTTATTCTTTATTTATTTAGTTATTGAAAAGGTATTCCAATTGTTTAAAGTTCACAACCAAATTAAATATATTGTAGACAAATACAAACAAAAAAAAAAAACAGAACATACAGTTGGCAGGCGTACACAGCGCTTACAAGAAAAGGTTTTTTTTATTGTGAATTGTTTGTTAATTACTAATCCAAACTGTAGTTAACCTTTAGTACTTTTATAAATAATTGTGAATGGTAATCGTTCATTAGCTAGCTACATAAAATCAGGGTTGCCACTACAAAAAAAGTTGTAAATTAATTTTGCTGTCTCTGTTTCTCATAAGATGAAGAAAGCGATGCCAATATGTTGTCGAACTATATTTCAGTGGAAATCCACAGCAAATAAATATTTACGGAAGCAGAATATTTACATGAATGATATATGTTATCTTTAATATAAGTCATTAGGTTAATTATATAATGTAATTATAATAACTACATGAATAACTAAATCTTGACCTTGTATATGCAATATTGTTTTATAAGAGTTACGTTGTCGGCAAGGGGCCTGTCTCAGTCAGCATGTTTTTCGTTGCACAATGCAGGTTAACGACTGATTGCGAATGGGTCGGCAGGCACGTTCAGTTCTATACCTCGGACGGACTTGCCTAATCTTAACTCTGTTATTAAAATTAATTGCGCGCTCAGAAGTTGCGTTGACCGAAATACATAGTGCGTTCAGTGTTGCTACATTTTAATCTTATTATGCTACTTTTAGCAATACATAATACTATAAATGCGAAAGTTTAGATGTGTGAATGGATGTTTGTTAGGATTTTTAGCCTAAACAGCTGAACGAATTTCGATGAAATTTGTGTAGATGTAGAGGATAGTCTGGAAGAACACATAGACTATTCACTTTTCTTTTTTTTATTTCACGCGGATGGAATCGAGGGCGAAATCTAGTAAGGTACACATTTGTAACATATTATTAGAATAGAATAGGAATTTAGTAGAAAATCAACTTCCGAGTATCTGGGGGAGAGGTCCTCCTTCCTGGCGACACCCAATCTAACCTATCTGTAACTTTTTTCTTTTGTTCTTAATTGTTTGGGAAACAGGATATTTATTATCATACAAACCTCAGTCAAATATTATCGTTGTACGATAAGTGTTGTTACTTCGGCTCTTCGTCGCTAATCATTTGTTTGTCAAGGCTCAAAGCGGTGATTATGAATTGCTTAATATCATTATAATAGCAAGGACGCTAAAATACATTATAATATGGAATATCCGTACAACCGCACACTTTTGTCATTAACACAGTTCCTAAGTAGCCACAAGGCCCCAAAAGTTCGAAAATAAAATATAACTTGCAACTAAGAATTCATTTTAAATGAGATGGATGGATGTTTGTTAAAGTTTGTAGGCTAAACGGCTAAACGGATCACGATGTTGGCATAGATGTAGAGCATAGTCTGGAAGAACACATAGGTTACGTACTTTTTTTAATTCCACTCAGACGGCGACTCGAGCGTAAGCTAGTATATACTAAAGACCTGACTAGTCACATCAAGAGTTTGACTTAAATCAGTATAAAAGTAACCAAGTGATACAACTACATTATTTTTTAATCACTTGAAATATAATATGCAAATGTAATATTCCATTGAGAGTGCAGTTAGAAACGATGAACATCCGGCTGTTATCAGCTGATAGTGATTGCACATGGACCTCGCACTCGATACCGACGTGACTGCATATCAATAATAACTATTTCTGTCACAACAATATAAAAACAAACGCAACAAAGTCCAAATGCCGCGTCTATGTTGACGCTGATTCATAGACTCTAAGGTAAGAAATCATTTACTAGACTAAAAAATGTCCTTATTCAACGCTAAAAATGAACTATTTCTATACGTTGTTTTAATAAAAATTTAATCATCGCGTAAACATTGCAATCATTTTACAAAACACAATCTAAAGTGATCCAAAAAGATCAGAAACTGCAACGATTACATGATCATATTTATATTTTTGACTATATTAGAGAAATATTTAAGCATGTCACATTGATGGTATTCTGCTTTAATTATGGGCAATCTCAATTTATAATAACAATCACGTCTTGTTTCGATCAATTCAATAGGACAAAGGTTGAGATCTTCATTGGCCCATATTCGGTGAGTCATGATATAGTTATTCAAACTTCAAACAACGCTACGAAAGTCACAATATTTGGTTAGTTAACTGCAGGATAAGCATTCATAACGTCATTATCAATTATCATAAATTAGACTAGCTGTCGATCGCAACTTCGTCTGCCTGGAATTATAAACCTTAGTAACCTAAGAACTAGTCCAATTTAATCTAGATAAATCCAGATGTTCTAGATTTATGTGGTAACAAACATTCATAAGAATTTTAAATATAAATGCACAATCTTTGATTAAATACTAACCGAAGATCTAGGTTAATTCTAGAAGGGCTTTCTAAGGTCTCTTCATAACTATCTTACATTTTTCGAATTTATACGCTACGCCTATAGTAAGAAGAAAAATACTTTTAATTTGCGTTCGATTCTAACTTGTATTTACTACTTTGTATTCGTATGTATACTGTAGTTATAGTAGACGGTATTTTAATGGTACGTGGTAGTTGGGGACCCGTTATCGAGTGGCCCGTTACTAGACTAATAACAAGACGTCTGCATCCTTGTAACTGCAGATGTGTCGATTTTCTCGTTGCATTTGCCTAATCGGATAACTGTTACCAAGAGCTGTACAAATATTTGAATTCAAATTTACTAGTTAACGATGGTAAGTGGTCTTTAAATGTAAACTTGCTAACGTTGATATTAAATTACTAAATCTTAAGAGAAGAAATAGATTATAAAAAAAGCTGTTGGTAATTGCCATTAAAAGCAAAAGAATTAAAGAAGGAATTAAAAGAAGTACCGGGAAAGAATAATGTTTACGCTTCCAGATTTCAACGTGTTAATTCTAAATATAAAACACTAGCTGTTGTTCTCGACTTCGTCCATGTGGAATTAAAAAAATAGTAACAAAATACACTGATAACTTTGTATTTTAATGGTGAAAGTATTTTTGAAATAGACTCAGTTGTTTTTGAGTTATTTCAATACATACAAAAATACAAATCTTTCCTGTTTATAATATTTGTATAGATGATAAGTAATTTCTATACAAAAATGTAATTGATTTTGTAATTATAATCACAACATTATCAACTTTCTAATCTATACATACACGCACATACGAAAACAATTTGGTATAGAATTAAAACGGAAAACAACAAAAGTATTGATAAAAATAAAGTCAAACAATGTGATAATCCGGTCTGTGTCACAAAGTTTATTGTCACAAATATTAATCGAATAATTAACACTTAAAATATTTTTTCACTCTTACTTTAATAAGTTAAAATAAAGCAGTATTACTTCATAAACTAAGTACGTATTCTATTTGAGAACGTTCGTTTCATCATCAATTTGTTGATTTTTTTTATTTTAACTTAATGTTTATACAACTTTATAGTTTGTTGACAATGTAAAAAGTGTTTCAGGCCGTATACCTCGTAAATATATTATTAGACATTCATTCTAGGATTAGACCAGACAAATCTAAATATAGGATCTGAAAAATTATATCGCTAAGAAAGTCATATTATCGTTTTGTCATAGTAACATGAGTCTATCACGCTAAATGTGATTAATACATAATTTCTACCGGAAAAGTTATATATAATTCTTATCATAATTGTTTATCTTTTAAAATACCTAAATGTCTGCAATATGATATAGGTTATTGCAACTTGGTATGTCTAGTACATTGATAATTCTACTTCATTTATATCTCAATCACAAGCAATATTGTAGTTTTCCATATTAATGTATAATCATTTATGTTTATCTTGTTTCTATTTCCTGTTGTTTATCCATTAATGCGTACGAGATTTATAAAATAAGTTAACGCATATAACCTAAAAAGGTCAGACCAAGCTAATTAGTCCTTTAAGCAATGATTTGAATATTAATTATCTATAGTAATCCACATTTTTTTAACCTAGAAAAAATAAAGATCATTTTATGTAAGAGAAAAGAAGGCAAATGAGAAGCGGGATCACCAAGGCAATCCTCAAACAATGAGTATGCGCAATACCAAAAGAACTGCAGATGTGGTACCACTCTTTGAATTTCCATTTCTAACACTATATAACAATTATTTGAATATTAGCGTTAACCCCATATTTATAGATATTTAAAGTTATAATAATAATAATAATAATATAATAATAATACACATTTAATCAGTTCCAAAACACACTGCAACACAATACAACATAATACACTTGAACAAAAAAAAATACAAACGAGAAAAACGAAAACCAATCATTAACAATCAAAACTAATGACAAGAAAATTGAAGAGGAAAAAAAAAACAAAATATATAAACAATTTCACAATGCGTTGCAATGCAGAACTGATAGGGCCTTTGCTCAGCTATATGTTTTGTACGTAATGCATCTAGACATAAATTCGTACAAGAGTTTGAACTTGACACTGTTTGCACTTATCGTTAAAATGTTCTTAACACCTCAGTGGTACTTCTATTAGAGTCTCATTGCTGTTAAAAATAGAAAAAAATAGAAGTGTATTACAGTTTTTATGTAGCTTTTACGGGTTGGTGGTGAAAAGGTCAAGATACCGTTGTAATTTTGGCTTTAGTTACTCCACATTACATAAATTCTATTTATTGAATTAACCTATAAACAATTTTATTTTCTTAAATTTTGGAATATCACTAAAGTACGACTTAATACGATTGCTTCAAGTGTTCCCAAAATTTGTAGTAGCTATTTGATGAAATAGAACCTTGAGCGTTTGTTTTCTCTAACATTTTATAATTCTATTCGACTGCTGGTGTTACAAATGTTCCTCGTGGTACCGGCGTGTTTCAAGCCGACGTTTATTCGCTTTTATACGTTTTATACATTTATACGATTATTATGGAGCAGTTACTGACACTTCGTATCTACATCAAATTGTTAATGATTGATCTTTAGAACGTTTACATAACCGGACTCCTTGATACAAATGCTAGGGGACAAAACCCTATAAAAGTCTGTATAAAATATATATTCACTGACTTGTTTTAAAGCTAGTTTGATGATATTTTTACAAAGCATTTGTTGTGGTTTTTAATAACAATATCCCTTATTAAGTTAAACATAAAACTTTACAATCATAGTAAACTCTGCAAATAACAATTTAAAATCGATTACTTATATTAACGTAATTATTTATATTGTTTTACGAAAACCGGAAGTAATCAAGTTAAATCTATTTGCAATGACAGCTTAGTTAGCAATAAAAATCAACTTAGAATTAGCTCGGTAGCCATGAAATGTGTGTCTACGTTTTTCCTTTATGCGTTACATAGAGCATCCGCATTAAAACATACGCATCTAAGTTGAAATATTTGTAACTATAAAACACGAACGTAATATAGTTTTTATGAATAACAAACAACCAATGATAACTGGAATAAAAATAAAACAAAAGACAAAAGGACTTTTTCAACACCTTACGCAAGTTTGGGAGTTCATTATCTTAATGTAACATCTCTCTATCTCTTTCTCTTCTCACTTATAACTGACGACCTTTTGTATACCACGGCAATGGTAGCTCGAGTTATCTGTTAAACGATGCCCTTTGACATTTTTGTTATCGTATCATATAGACATAGATGCTCCGTTTCTTGGTAAGCAGTGATAGTTATGTTCCTCTCTATACCAAATATGACAGTAAAGTACACGTTATATATTATAAAACATTTATTATCAAATTATCTTTACATACTTTGCTACACTAAACTCACAACTAAAAAGGTTTGTTATTTTTCAATGTGCAATCTGTTAAATTATCATTACGTCGAATAGGGTTGTGTCTCCGAAATGTTACACTTTTATTTGATTAATCTGTGTACGCAGATCTAATTATGTCATCCCTGTTTATTTTCAATTAATGAAGCTACAAAATTAATGGCCAAATAAAAAATGTATATACATTCTCATACGATGATTATGAATGCGCATACAATTAGATACAGGTCAAATGTCAAGAAAAGTAGGGAAAATATTTTGGTTCCACTCATTCGTATTGTACCTCTACAATTCACAGTAGAGTGTGTAATTCAATTTTGAAAACAGTAGGATTTTTTAATAGAAAATAATGAACCTAGCTCTGTTGAACGACAGAATACAAGATAAACACTTAAGAAGAGTAATTAGGGTTGGCAATTTTACTTTTTTGTTATAAAATGTTGTCAATTAATTTCGTATCGATTATCAAAGTAAAACGTTTCGTCACACGCTAACACTTCTTGTTACACCATCTCCAAGTTATGCAACAAGCTAAGGGACCGTTTATACCAGTTTCTGTGTCAAATATTGGCATTGGACTCGTCTTTTCAACTTTGCAATCAAAGTTATACAAATATATCAACCAATGTCAGGTCTTAATTAGTTTAATACGTTTATTTTGTTTCCTAGTTTTGTAAAAAGGAACGCTTAGGGTTCTCATTATGTTCCTGGTCTAATCGTGACAGAAAGTCGGCACAGTATGTACTCTACCATACATCTGTCAGTCGCCATATTTTTACGTCTGTTATTTACGTATCTTCTTTGCAATAACATGTTTATAAACAAATATCTGTCTATGATAAGTTAAATATCAACAATTGTATTTTATGGAATTATTTTTCTTAAACTCTGTTACAGATAAAGTTATCGTTTACAATAAATCTATAAATAACGTGTACTAAATGTGTTTGCAAGGTATCTATTCTCATTATTCTAATTAACTATTGTAAAATGATTTTAAAACTAAATGTAATAAATAATCGAACGAATACGCTAATTTTGTAAAAAAAAGTACTTTATCATTTTATATAAGAGTTTTTATTTTTTTTTCTTACCCAAACTATAGTGACCATTTTTTGAAAACCAAAAGAATATTTTTTTTTACATTTGCGAACAACATTTTTTTAATTAAATAAATATATACTGTTATAACAGTGGGTTAAATCAATATTTATAGTAATCACTGCGTCCTTATCCAAAAGTATAAATAAATATCTTTGGGACAGTTCAATAACTCATAACAAACAGAGATACGATTGTTGGCCCGCTATCGGTCAGAGATAACAGCGGTTGAAAAGGCACTGTCGAAAGTTCACTTGATGCTGCGAATAGTTACTACGCGGACAATGTCCAATTTGTTCTCATTAAAGTTGGTTTTGGACGAAGCAGTCGAAAAAAACATCGTTTTATCTCTGTTTATTTCAAAGAAAATGACAAAGACCGAACATCTATGAACTTGTGCAACGGTAGAACAAACGCATGATAAAAGTTTGTAGATACATTCATAGTCTGTACACATATTTTCCCGCGCGGGGAGAAAATCCGCATCTTGCAACAAGATTGTATACACCCAGTAATTATATACACGTTGCAAATTATACTTTCCAAAGTCGGGATATTTACAACAAGCTTCGTAAAGGAAGGAAAGCTTTAAATAAAATATTAAAGATTTAATACAAATATGGTATCTCCTACTTCATTAACTAACTGCATTAAAGTACTGCATACTGCAGCTGCATTAAAGTTATTTTTAAAATCACCAACATAAATAAGCACTAAATAAAAGATCTTAGATAACTCAAAGTAATTCAACAGATAAACACCACTTCTATAATTTTAGTAAACTAGCTGTTCCCGTGCGGCTTTATCCGCATATAATTATAAAAACTTTATTTTGTTATTGACATTTGTCAAATTCTCAATTGAAAATGTCAGATTAACCTCGCTTTCTTAATGTCGGCAGTTTGTAGTTTGTAGTCCTTTGCCACATGAAGGTATTTTTTCCAATTTATTTACCCCTTTTATTTAGTAGCGTGAAAACATATAGCCTAAAGCGTATCGTAAATGTAGAGCTCATTAAAGAAAGAATTATTAAAAAATATTCTGTTATTGCTGTCATCCTACGCCAAGATGTAGTGTGTGTTTACGCATTATATTAGTATCAAAGCACTGAGGCGTAACGTAAATATTTATGTATAATTTCTAATTGTATATCAGTTACATTGTTATAATCCTATTCGACATGTACAGAAAGATAAGGTACAAGTAGATAATAAATTAAAATTATTACATGACGCCATCAGGATTAATATGAGTAAGCCATTCCTCTAGTCATAGTCTCCGTATAGTGATAGTTATCGAAAATTGTATAAATTTGTATTAAATTATTTAAAAAAAATGCAATCGTCATCATTACTTGTCTTTATTTCATTCAATGTCGGGACCACGTACAAAACTTTTGTCCTTAAATTATCATTCATTATTGCTTTCTTATGTCACTTTTAGAAAATGCAATCATTAAGGTTATAAAAAAATGTACTTACGAGTGCTAAAGCGCTTTCCGGATACCATTTGCAAGGTCGTAGAAAGATTGTCAATAGTTCGTCATCATCTCCGAAGTAGATATCCTTATTCTCCTTCAGCAGTTCTCTGAGACGTTCCAACGCCTCGCGAACTCGCTCCGGCGTCTCTCGTAACTCCTGTTCAGCGATTTCTTTCGTCTCCGGCGACAACTCCACGTTGCGCTCTATCTTGAATTCGCTGCTGCTCATTGTGTATTACTGCGACGTCTGCAATAAACAAACTATTAAAACACTATACATTTTAGTGTTTAAAAATGTGAAACCATAGAGAAAGTCAATTAAAACGTTTGTAATAAGGCTCTATAGGGTTAACTTTATTTATACCTCATAAAAGACTAGCGTTCGCCTGTGACTACGTCCGCATGGAATAAAGAAAACAAAAGAGAGTAGCTTATGTGTTAAATTCAAATTTCATCGAAATCTGTTCAGTCGATTAGGCTACAAACCCAAACAGACGTCCATCCATCCATCCATCTAAACTTTCGCATATAACATTAGTATGATTACGTTTGAGCTGATGCCACCATATTGTTTTCATATTTGGATAAACATGTCTATGCTGTTAGGGTTATCATAACCTCTAATGACCTTGGTTATCTATCCTAATTAGGTTAAATAGATATGAGAAATTTCTTACTATTTTTGTGCGTTTACTGTTTAGTATAACTATCATCTAATTATATTTTTAAATGCAGTGTAAGCCTTACTTTCGACACCAAACGTGCGAAGCATACATAATAAGGCCTTGACTCGTGCTTTACTAATGTATGTTGTCCTAACGCATACAAAATAATTTAAATGTTCCAAGTTTGATAAAAACAATTTTACCTACATCCACATTTGCCGTTGCAGATTATAATAATTAAATTATATAAAAGTTTTTAACATAAAAATGTATTGTAGCATTAAAATAAATGTAAAAGTCTTTCTAGCAACCAGACATAATAATGTTATATGAGAAGTTAAAAATAACTCGAGTGATAGACAAAACAATGTAGTATTAAATCTCATTAGTTCAGTAAACCTTACACGAGTAAAGATATTATATTACATTTGATCCAAATACATTTGCTGAGTCGTATTTTATATGTTTTTATTAATATAATGTCCACTAGCGAAATATGTGTGCAAAATATTGCCGACCCTTTAATTATTTTTGAATAGCTTTCCCGCGACACCGTCCGCGTGGAATTAAAAAAAACAAAAGTGAGTAGCCTATGTGTTCTTACAGAGTATCCTCTACGTCTATGCCAAATTTAACCGAGATCTGTTCAGTCGTTTAGGCTACAAACTCTAACTAACAAACATCCATCCATCCATCTAAACTTTCGCATTTATAATTTTGGTAAGAATAAGATTAGTAAGATTGACAAAGAGAAAAATGTTTTTGTATGTGTGTTTTGCAGTGTAGACGCACGGTAACTTGCATGTGTAACTTGTCAACAGCATTATCATAATACTCGATAAGAAAATTTCTTTTTATCTTCAATTCTAATTATCCTTGATTGTGATATTTAATCAGATCTAATTTTTGCCTTTATAATAGGTATATTTATAATAGCAATTGATTATTTAGTTTTATTCATTAGATACAATCTCTAAAGTTTCTTTTGCAAAAAATAAATACTGAAATTTAAGTTAAGAAAGTATTAAAAATAAAGGGATTAATAATGTTTTTAAATTATTTAATAAATAATATTTTAATCCAAAAAAAACAGAGCGACAAAAATCCATAGAAAATAAGTGAAGAGAACAAACTTGGCTAAAGACAATGTAAAAGCAAAATAGGAATATGATTTTTTTATTTGTTAATAAATATATTTAAATAAATTAAAAAACAATGGCGATGAACAACAGTTAATACTTTAATTTAATTAAGATAAGAAATAAGCCTTACGGATTATATACCGATGGTGGATTAAAAACAAAGGAATATTATTGTTTAACACAAACAATGGCCGCTTATTGCAGCATACAGCACGGAAAAATAATAATGAAATAAAAACCAGTAAAGCCACGCTCCAATTTTCCTTGAAACAAAAATAAAAAATCACACACTAACCTCACTCGCGGGAAACTCGCGCGCCGGTCAAAACTAAAGGGCGGGAAATCGATAGCACAGCAGTGAGAGAGTAGAGCAAGTGTGCGCGCGCGCAGCGACAGCGCGGTTATATACGTGTGCGATAACAACCGCTTTGTGCCCAGAACCAGCGGCGCCTCCACTAAGGTCGAAGAGGGGCGGAAATTCTGATAGCGCGGGTAAACAATACCAGACCCTAAACGTGGACTTTTGACTTGCAATATGTAACAAAATGTATGAATTACGTGTGCAAGATAAAGTTCTAGAATAGTAAACAAAGGGTTTAATTATGTAAAAAATTGTTCAAAGTATCAAAAATATCCTTTGTATTATATTGCTACTTTATTTAATTTTTACAATTCAAATGAGGTCAAGCGAAATAAGCTTTATCTAGTCTTAGCATAATAATTAACAGTGAAGTCCCGGGTTCGATTTCAAAAAGGAAATTTATGTCATATCAGTCAGGTCGTTTTCAACTAGGAATACTGCCTTTTTTGAAACTCATTTAAATTTATTGATTCGTAGTTTTGACCTTTCAAATCCTTAAATTTTATTGAGATTAAAAATGGCAGATGTACCATAGAGAGTTAAATTACACCACTTACTAAAAAAATGTATCTAAAATGTACTATTTAGTACCTCGCTCAAAAAAAAAAGTTCGAGAAAGAAATCGTTACGAAATTAAGTTTACCCATTATATTGACTTCACGATTTCTATGCAAGTTTTAGAGCGACGACCATCGTCTATTCTATTTGGGATGATATTAGCAATTTGTTATATTTGATTAAATATTCGGTTTCAAAATAAGACATCTACATAAAGGGATTTTGGGGTTAACAGGATAAGTTTAGTAATCGTTTGGAATGACTGACAGCAGATAACATTTATCGAACTTGCTTTTTTATGTTATTTATTTATCAATAGGGTTGTTACAAAAATAACTTTTACATTAGATAAATAAAACAAGGATAACATTGTTTAGTTTATTGATTAAGTGTGGAGCTGTCGTCCGTTTCGTTAGCGGGTATGCTGCCTTCATCCTCATCTGAACTCGAGTCTTCGTCACTGCTCCCCATACTACCTTGCTGCAAAAATAAGAATTAATTACCTTAAATTATTTATTTATTTATAATTATTATTCTATTAATAAATAGGGATGATAAAAGAAAGTTAACGATTAAACAAGAGTTTTTTTAGATCATTGAAAACTGCTGATGGTTTAATGAAATAAAAAAAAAATGTCAGGGAAATGTCAAGAGGGAAATAATGGCTGAATATTTGATAAAGGGTTAAGACGTAAGTTTCATTAGCCAAATTAAAAAACTTCTAATTTATTATTGGTATTACAAAATTCATGATATAAATCCACTTCCCAAAAAAATATTGTTTTCTTTCTCATTTACTCTCTCTCTCTCTTTCTCTCTCTCTCTCTCTCTTTCTCTCTCTCTCTCTCTCTCTCTCTTTCGCTGTTTCTATCATAAAAATCAACATTTCTGTTAAGAAAAAGACTACTTCGACATAAAAGCTAACACGAGAATCTGAAACAAGGGAGGAACTGACCTCCAGCCTCAAGTCAGCGTTATGCGAGGCGAGCAGCGTCTGCTTGACGTATCGGAAGATGTGGTCGCGGCAGAGCTGGTCGGTGTCGGGCGGCAGCCAGCCGCGCCGCGCGTGGCACGTGCTGCTCACCGGCTGCACCGCCAGGATCGCCTCCACCTCCGGCAGCTGCACGTCGCAGTACTAAAGGGTTTTGCAATCCGTTAGTGACTGAGGATATGTCTAAACTGTAAAAGAACTAAGAAATGTGTCATGTCAAACTCTTATGCATAGAGATGAGAAATATGGAACACATAAACCTGGAAACATGGAACACTAACCCTATCTAGCCATAGACAACATTTATGACTGGCTTTTGCCTGCGATTGCGTCCTCGCGGAATTTACAAAACTTAGAAGTAGCCTAAAGTCATTACTATTTTGTGACATCATTTTGATCTCCTGATTCATCAAGACGCCAAGTTTTTTTTGTCTATTACATATATATTGTTTGTTGAATTCCTTATTTCTTTTTCCTTCTATCATGGTGGTTGTAACTTAACTTTATTTTTTATTTTTTCAATAAAATATTCGATTTGTGGTAATTTACTAATATTTCTTTAACTACTCCAACTAAGCTTTAAGCTTATGCTTGTGTTTACGACAGTAGTCGTATGACGGGATTCGAACCCTCGACCACGTAATTGGACATCAGTACCCCTTACCATTACGCTATTGGCGCTTTATATGTTTATCCTAGATTAACCTGATAGAATATTTGTCGCTGCGAGGGCGCCATGCCGGGGCGGAAGCGCACGGCGCCCTCGCTGACGTCATCGGAGGGCTGCGGCTCCTCGCGCTCGCTGCGCAGCTGGCGCACGCGCACCGCCTTCTTGTAGTGCACCACCTTGTCGCGCGTCATCACCATGCAGTGCACGCCGGCTATACAACCACCATTACCGTCATTAAACAAAAAAAGAAAAAACGACCATCCTGGATTCCTAGCTTTTGTGTAGGTCTCTGGACTATGAATTCCATCCGTAATTGCAAATAATGGTTACCTACTCTAAATCGACGGAAGAGATGTACAGATGATATTTCCTCTACCTAAGCATCCCCTCCTCTGTAAACCCACTGTTCCTTCCCATCCTTTCCTTAACAAGATGGTGGGACATGAAAGGAGTCTAAAAGTGGATGGCACTGACCATCCATCAGACTGTCTTCTGCGTGGATGTGGTTATGCACCAGGCAAACGGGCCCTTTCATGCAAAGATGTTAAAGCAGACTCTAAATATAACGCGAAATAATGTATGTAAGGGAATTTACAAGGAATGGTAAAATATAAATGTTAGTCGCTTCACCTGTATGCCTTAATCTGAAATCTAAAGTCTGATAAATTCTTGCAGAAGGTTCTTTTCTGGGGTCATAGCCAAATTTGACCCACAACATCCTCCAAGGTCCGTCCTTCATATATATCGCAAGACAAGGCATTATTAATTTCAGCGAAGATAACCTTATTTTTGTATGGAATTTGATGAGATTCAATGACCATATAGGTCTTTCTTCAAAAAGCTAAAAAATTAATATTTTTTATTTACCAAATTGGAGTAAGACGCTCAAATTTAAAAATAATTCTAGTATTTGTTGATTCATACCTTTTTAACTGTCTCAAATTCCTGTTGTAGTGGTGGGTACATAAGTTTTTTTATATCTAACTGTTTTATATAATAGGGATGAGCTTCTGTTGCTAAGTTATCATCCAAATTGAAAGTGTACCGCAATAGTGGTGTACCACGTTCAGTCCGCGCTCTACGATGGATGTTGTCAGGATTTTCATCCTTTTCTTTAACAGTGAACCTTTTTTCTGTATAATTATAGTTTATTGGCTTATCAAACCTTGTAAAATTTGGAGGTACGACAAATAATGGTGATGGTTTTCTGTAAATAGTATGTTAAATATTTTTATAAGTACAGTTTTGTTTGATTTTTAATTAAAATTGAAAATAGAAATAAAAACTTACACCATAAAATCAAATGTGTCGACACCCGATGGTAAAATAGTTTCCAATATACATTTAGGTTCTTGCAATCCCTCACTGGTTACAGGTAAATATTGGAAATCGCACATTGCTGAAATACAAAGATGTCATTAATACCAAATGGACATTTAATGTATCCAAAACTAATAAACTTTTTTAAATACATTATTTTTAAAGCATCAACTCACCTTCAAATTTATACATAACCTTAACAGAACCTAGAAGTGTTGTTGACACAACTTGTTTTGTGTCTTTACCATCCACTTTGGTCTTCTTTACTTTAATTTTAAGTAGAACCCCAGCAGTTCTTTTGCAATCAGCAAATGTTTTCTTTACGAAAGGATTGTCAGGTTGGAAGCTTAGACCTAAACGTTTCTTTGTAGGCTGAGAATACACCTTCAAGAATAAAGAATATACGTTTATAGTTATCTTGCAGACGTTATAAGAAATAGAATATTAATAGATAACAAACCTGTGATATTCCTCTTGGACCACCCAAACACTGTACCGCTTTTTCTTCATTTTTAACGATACCAGGAAATAACACACAAACTAGATTTCGCTTTAGATTACTCGGATCCATCTAAATTTATTGATAAAATTGTGTATCTTCCTTATAAAAACAATAAATAAGTTTATAACCTAAAATGTCAATGACTGACATTGACATTTTAAAAATTCGCAAATTAGCACAAAGAGTAAATTATTTAGCGTATGCGAGACATTTTTGCATTTCCAAAAAAATATCAAATTATTGGTGAATTGTTGAGTTTCTAACATTTTTCTCACTGAAAGCAGCAGAAGCAGTTAATTTTTCCAGATACTGTCTCCTTACCAATAGCACTGTTTCAGTAACTTTTCACAACTACATAGGGATATTTTAATACAAGCTTTTACATTTATCATGTACATAAAATTGAAATACTGCAATGTAAAAATAAGCTTTATTATATTTTAAACAGTCTTAATATTTGATCCTAAACATTAGGCTTATTGGGTAATATCACATTTTTATATTTATGACTAAAATTAAAATCTTTACAAAAAGAAGATTGACTTCAGCCAACTTTGTTTATCGATGTACAGCAGCTTCAACAGCTACTATTAACCTGAAAATAATAATAGGTTGTATAAACAATTTAAAAAATATTTTTTGTTTGCATGTTACATGGAATGGAAATTTTTACAATAATTTAAAAGTTGAGAGGTTTTAAGTCTTTTATGTTTACATTTTAGACACATTTCCATAAGTCCTATCTTATAGCTTCAATTAGTAAAGGAATAATTTGTCTGAATAGCTAACACATACTTCTCCAATAAAAAATTCCTATGCCTTTCAACTTCCAATCTCTCTTTTTCTATTTTCAGTCTTATATTGTTACATCGCTTCTTTTCAAGCAACTTTTGCTTTTCTACTTTTGTTCTCTCTTCTTCTAAATTTATCAATCGTTCATTAACAAGTCCTGAAAGAATACATTATCAATGACTAAGATGCATTTTTTTGTAAAAAAAGATCATATTCAAGATTTTAAATTAGTATTTTTCATTATGTTAGTAGGATTGAATAATAATATAATAATAATTAATTCAAATACTTCATTTTTATTACTTGTATGTCTTCCCCGTTTCCATAGAGGTTTTTCTGGCACAAGGACAGATGTTATTTCATTAGAACTAAGGCCTTTGCTTATATCATCCTGTAAACTCATTTCCATTTCAGCTTGTGCAAAATTTTGATCAGTTGTCCATTTCTAAAAAAACATAAATCCTTTACTTCTCATGATATTAAGTTAGTTTTTACATTGTTACAACAGAAAGAATAACATCTTACCATGTTACTTGCTGTAGCTTCCATGTTGCACAAATCATCATTAACACTGCTATATTGAGCACAAGCCTAAAAAACATCTTTCAACAATGAGTTCAAAATAATCCAACACAATGAAGACAATCATAGACAACTATGAATCAATAATTAATCTTATGAATTAGATATCATATCATACCATGTTGCTAGAAACAACACTTTCAGGGACTTCAGGTAAACCGAACACAGCAGTATTTGTACAAATTAATCTTAAAATCTTCTCCTCAGCCTTTGTAAGCTGGGTATTAGTATTACAGCCGGTTGTAAAGTGACTCTTTCGGATCTTAAAAGCTTTCTTTTTCACATTTGACTTCCAATCCCTCCAAGTCTGGCAAAAAAAATTAGCATTGCATTAGTAAATGAAAAAGTACTAAAATATTTTATAATCTAACACATCATATAAATCACTGCACAAACCTGCTGCCACTTATCAGGCGTCTTTATCGCACCAGAGCCAAAACCAGAATTAGCGTTTAGCCTCTCCGTTATCTTAATCCAAGCATTGGTCTGCCTAATTCGACCTTCTAAGCCTGTAAATTTACCAACCGCCAATTCTTTATCTTCTTCTAGAAAATTTAAGAGCATATTTAATTGCTCGTGACTTGCTTTCCGTCTTTCCATGATGAATTTTACTTAGAGCAATTAAAAAAGTCAAAGGTTTACAAATTTATTGTAAATTTCAATTCTGCAAATAACGATAACATTATCAAATAAATAATTTTGTTTTGATTTTTTTGTTGTCTTTCATTCACCGGTTGTCAGTTTGACATTAGATGTCAAAGAGCACATAAAAGTAGAGTGTAGAGTACGATAACTTTGCTATTGGCTGAGAATTTGAGTAACCATGGCAACCTTGTTACTATTAGTTAATAGTTTTGTCTCTTTCTAGCAGAGCTATTTTTCAAATTTACCCACATGTAAGTTAAATTTTTATTTAAATTGTTGCAATTAAAGACTTCCTAAATAAAAGTGTATGTTTACTATTTAAAATATTCGTATACAAAATTATATGTATGTAGGTTTAGAAATAAGGCGACATATTTGAGAAAAACTATATCAAAATAAAACAGTAGTATTCAATTATTTAAAAGTTTATTTAATATTTTTAATTGGATTTATTATCAATGCATCAGTATTTGCATCTGTGCTAATTGACTGTAAGTATCGCCTGGCATTCTGTACGCAATGTTGCCCGCAAACGTGTTGAGGACTTCAGCCTGTTCTCGCAGCCATTCCACTTGCTGTGAAAAATAAATTATATTATTAAAAATTGTATGTTATGTTCCCTAGTAACATTCGATTATTTCTGTCGCATCAGCGATATATTCTATCAAGACTTCTATCAAGAAACATCAATGTATATAACTGACGATAATTTGCGATAAGTCACGTGTGGAGCACCGAAGTTTGTCACGTGGGTTAAGCCGTCTTTCTTAATAATATAGCTGTATATACCTTGTTGGTGTGCATGGGCAGGTTGTGTGCGTGTGCGTTGCGCAGGCGCTGGCGCTGCGCCAGCAGGATGTGGCAGAGCGCGCGCAGCACGGCGGGCAGGCTGCGCAGCAGCTCGCCGCGCGCGCACCGCGCCGCCGACACGCGCGCCTCCAGCTCGCCCGCGCTCAGCGGCACCACCTCGCACTCGCGTAACGACTGCATAACATATTTACACTAATATGAAGAACTATTATTATAGTTTAAGTTAGTTATTTTATATCTAGACTCATTTTTGACAAAAGCTTCAATTAAAGATCTACCAAATTCATCATCAACCTCTAACAATATAAAAAAAAAAACAATTTACAATCAGAATAATAGTTTGACTTTCACATGCAGTTGGCCTAACCAACCTGTACAGACTTATCGTTGAATTTTAGGACACGTTATATACAAACCTCAAGAGCCCCTTCAAAGTTATCATTATGGAAGTGATCGAAGAAGGTCATTAGTTTGCAGAGTTTGTTGTACGCCTCCAGCAAGGCTGCGGGCAGCTGCGTCGTGTCGGCGTGGCGCAGGCGCAGCGACACGTGCTCCGCCAGCAGCGACAGCCGCGCGCGCAGCCCGCCGCCGCTGCCCCCGCCACCGCTGTTCACCACCTGGCCCAGCAACACGCACAGCAGCTCCAGAACCTTCTCCATATTCTGGAATTAATACGCCTAATAAATAAAAATATTGGCATCAAAGGCTGGAAACAAAAAGACCAAGATAGACCGATATGGATAAATTTACTGGACAAGGTCCACCTGCGGCTGTAGTGCCTTTGATTATGATGATGATGACTATTACAAATGTGAAAGATTTGACGCATGGTTGTTTGTTAGAAAAGGTAAATAGATATTGGAACACCTCAAAGAACTTGATAGAACACAACATACTCTACTCTTTGTCGAGTGACGTCACTATACACGCCATGACAGGTAAACGATTTTTCGCGGTACTTTTTTTACAACATTAAATAATTTTTTTTAATTTAGTGCACAAGCATATTATTTCACCATTATCGTTACTTCTTTGTACATATTTAGTTATTTTACTTTTATAAGTATGGAATTCAAACTTTTGATAAATAATACATACCCCAGCAATATCATACACTGTGATAGCGTCTTCAAAGAGTCCTTTGTTAACTAACTGCTCTGCCACATTTAATGCAATAACCTGTAATTACACATAATATCAAATATTTTCTCAATCTAATGGTGTCTTAAATTATTTGTAGTTGCCTGATAAACTAGAAGGAATGGCTGTAAAAATATAGTTATTAAATATTATTCAAACAATTTACCTTACTATCAATATGAGGATTATTAAACTCATCCAGTAAACCAGGACTGCATAATCCTGTAACAGGATCCATTTTGCCAAACAACAATTCATAGTCTCTGCTTTCTAATGCAAGATCTGTACAACAGCACATGAATAAGTTTTTGCCACTGGGATCTTTCAAGTTCCTGTAAGAGAAATAAAAAACCTTTTAGTTTTTTATCTACAATTACTATAATATGAAAAAGAAACTTGAAACTTGATAGCCAATTGCAAAATTAAATTCAATATTAAAAACCTATTTTCCTCGAGTAACATAGAAGATATAAATTTTAATACAGCGCAGATAAAAAAAATTTCTTAAACATACCTTAAAAAGAAGTAATAATGTAAGGCATCAGATGGATCAGAAAGTTCAAACTTTCTCACATAGAGTAGCAACAATCTTGCCAAGTTCAATCTACGCAGTGGGTTTGGATCATCTGTGTCAACAGATACTGTAACGAAAAAAGCACATATTTTGATATCTCTATAATCATAAAACTACTACAAAACTTATTTAAGATTTTTTTTCATGTACAGTCGCGGAAATTTGCGTTGTTCCATTTCAGGAAAAAGTGCCATGTTCATTGCAACGAGCCAAATTGCGCCTCTTCCTATAATCAACTAATTAGATAGCAGTCTAGAGAGCAAACAAAGGGATAATAATAAAAAAAACTAGCCGTGTATAACTGACTTTTCTTCATACAAATACATTTATAAGCTGTATTGTATTAGTTCATGTTCCGCATTTCAAAATGTTCAGATGATTGCAGTTTTTAAAGTAGAAACTGCCAGTTTTTCTGAATGTACATATTGTTTACGTTATAATTTCCTGAATATAATAGAAGTAACAAAACGATACAACTATATAAATATTATTTACTTACATAAGGGAGCTTGTACATTCCTCGGTGTGCCCAGCATATATACATCGTGAAGTGCTAAGGCCATATGAACACCATGTACTTGATACCTATAACAAAACAATAGTAAGTTTTCTGTAATGAAAAATCAACCATTATACAAATCTTTTAAATCTAAGAATACATAACCATGAAAAAGTGATCTAATTAGAAAAGAAAAATCATACCTTGGTATTCTAGATAGAAACTCAAGAGCTGGTTCAAATTGTCCAGTCAACATCAACACTTGGAAATACACTAAAGGTTTTTCATAGGCATGGTAATGAGTTTCACCTGAAATGTAATAAACAATGCTAAGGATCCATCACACAACACATAAATATTTAATGAAACCACTAGCAAAATATTCAAACAAGATAACCACTCCTTTCCATCTAAAACCTAATATTATTTTAGTTCTATTCAAAACTATTTTATGCATTTACAGAGACTATGGTTTTAGAAATTACATTAATGTGGGTTTATATGGATTTTTGTTAGAAGGAGTCTCCAGAATGGGTGAATGAAATTGAGTAGAGATTGAGAACATAGTCTGGAAGAACACAAAAGCTACTTGTTTAAGTTTTTCTTTGAATTCTGCATGAATCAAATAGCAGGTTAAAAATAGAAATTAATACAAAAGTTTCATGTAAAATACACATACCATATTCCTCCAAGATAAGCTTCTGCAGATCAGAATATGTGAATGCAACTGGCTCGTTGTTGGGACGAGACTTAATTATGGACAGCTTCATCCAGAGGTAGTCATCAGCGGTACGAGCCACTTCTGAATGCTCATCACTCACATCACAACAACCAATTACACAGTACACCTGGATTAGAAAAAAATAGAATAGAAAACAGCATAAACCCAGCAACACATAAGGTGAAAAGCATTATTTTATGTAGAAAGAATATAAGCTATTCTAATAAGTTTTTCAACTTTCAATACAGTAATTAAATTTATGATAAGATTTTAAATTGTTAACTATCAAGGCTTCCCCATATATATACTATTATAATAAAGCGTAAAGACACACTTCTTTGTTGCCTAAGATCTCAGCAATTACAGCATATTTTGAATAATTCTTTTTTTAATACAAAGCCCTACATTTCCGTCACTCTTTAGGCTATATATTTTCACGCCATTAAACTTAGGGGGTAAATATTTTGGATAAATACCCTAATGTGGGAAAGAGACCATAAGTTGCTGCCAACATCAAGGAATCAAGGTTGCCATGGTTTGACATCATATTGTCATTTTGACATTTGCAATTGATAAGTTGACAAATGTAAACAATAAAAATGAAATTTTATGCGGATGAAGTCGCATGGGAACAGCTAGTTTATTTATATTGTAAATCGAGATTATTTTAAAATACTCACAGCTCTTTTATATGGATCAGTTGAATTTCTAACTTGTATCCTATATTGAAAGTTAATGGCTGTCTGTAGTTTGTCACTTAAGGCTTTTTCCGGATTCCTGATGTGCTCTTCTAGTGCTGATATAAATTCTTCATGATCACGTCTAAAATGTTAAATTGATCTTACTAACATAAATGCGAAAATTTAGATGGACGGATGTTTGTGAGAAGGTATCTTTAAAACCGTTCAACAGATCTTGATGACATTGCACAAATGTAGAATAAAGTCAAAAGAACACAAATAATTTATGTAAATCCCGAAAGAAGGGAATCGCGTGCAAAAACGAGTGATAAAATGCCCTATATTTAAAGCATCATTAGCCTTGTATCTTAATATAGATTAGATTAAATATTTTTCTAACTTACCCTGCTTTCCGTAAACAATGTAAGGCAGCATTGGCATCTCCACTTCGAAGGCAGTAGTATATCATGGGCCAGAGTGGTCGGTCGTCAACTACACCATCAGCAAGACCTTGGCTGCCTTGTCCTTGTAAACGAAGCCCTACAAAGCCTCGTACCAATGGATATGTGCCAGGCTCTCCACCTCTCATAGCTGCAGCAGGGTTTGCTCGCACCACATCACTCATATATTGTTTGTATCTGAAAGAAGTTATGTTATGAATGTAAAAATACTTTAGACATTTGTTTTATAGACTCTCTTTGGTATCTCACTAATATAATAAATGAGAAAGTTGAAATGGATGGATGTATAGTTTGTAGCCTAAACTGCTAAACAGATCTCAATGGAATTTGATATAAATATAGTGCTTAGTGGAAAAACTCATGAGCTGCTTAGTTTTTTTAATTCCGTGCAGATAGGGTAAGAGACAAAAACTACTGGGCCGATTTTAAAAATTCTTTTACCACTAGAAAGGTAATGTATCACTGAGAAACATAGGCCATTTTTTTAATATTTTTAATTACACACGGACGAAATCACGAGCGATAGCTAGTCATTTATAATATTATAATATACATGGTGCTGTTTCCATACCTTTTTTCCAAATATTTCTTGCCTTGTGCTATTAGACATTGTTGAATTGCTGGATTGCCTCTAGCTTTGAGTGGATCTTCATCTCTAACAATGGCAGGTATGTTGGTCATTGTCTTTATAATCTCCCACATTTCTCTTACTTTCTGGAAATTGTAATAAATATCACTTTAGCATATAAAAAACTCTAACAATAAGGAACAGATAAGTTATGATGACTTTTTAATGGATATTAAACCACATGGCTGGCCAGATTTTCAATTCTAAAATCAAACAATATAAATTGAAAAAGAATTTTGTAATTAATGATCATTAAAACTGAAAAGATTACCGTTTCATTCAGCTCCTCAGCCACTTGTGCAAATTTCTGGTGCAATGCTGTCCTAGGCTTAGATCCTTGGAATATCAATTTATTGTACTGTTGGATTTGTCGAGCATATGCAGCCTCTACACTGTCCAGCATTGAATGACCAAACTTTTTAGGAGCATCAGCAATACTTGGAGGCTCCGGTGTCTTTTTAAGATCTAACCAGTTCTGCGAAGGTCCTATCATAGCATTCATTAGATTTGTTTTCTCTTTATTCCACTCTGAAAGCATATGCTCCCATTTTTGATCTTCTGTTGTTTGCAATGACTGGAATTTAATAATTTTACAATTAAGTGGTGTTCTATATATTAAATGCTTTTGTAAGCAATTGTTCATTATACTTACATTTTTATTAACCTCATCAATGAGTGATAAAATAGCATTTTCCCTTTCATTTTTCAAAAAACTTTCCACATCTGAATCAGCAATAGGTTGAAGTGGTTCAAATGTGCGCTTTGAACTAAGTGTCTCTAACTTCTGAGATATTTGTTGAAGATCTATGCCTTTAGAGCCAAATAGGAGATGTCTGAAATCATATAATTTATAAATAAAATGTTGGAATTACTCCAATAAACAATCTACACCTGTTGATAATTTGGTAATTATACATTCTTCATGCAAATAGAATCTTATAGGCAGACATAAACCATCAGATATAACCTAAAACGGCTATATATTTATTAATTACTTACACTTCATATGGCAATATAAAACCAATATCTGTTTATTATCTTGACTATAAATTATAAGTTCTGTTTTAAGCCCAATTTGTTAGGTAATTTTTAAAAATGTGAAATGTTTGTACTGTTTGTTTAAACACCGAAAAACAAATACTCACGCTTGGATATCATTTGCTCCAGATTGTATAACTCTGGAATATAACTCATGCGAGGCCTCCAAGACTTGACCAAGAGACCGTTCAACTCTCGGAAGCTCTTCATTTCCTTCTATTTCAGTTGTTAACTGTTCAGCTTCTTGTAATAACTTACTAAAGTCGTCGTCCGCCATATCGTTGAGTAGATTACTCAGAAACAATATAGTATGTAACCGTTATTGATCTAAATAACCTTATTAATACTAACTTATTTGCATTACCATTTCACTTCACATATCATAATAAAATCGCCTAATTTTTTATTTCTTCACAAAATTTTAAACCGCACCGTTAAGTCAGAAATGATAATGATAACCACCGACAACTTGTCAAATCTCTTCTTTTTTTCAAAATTGCCACTTTAGAGATGAGCATAGAGGCTACTCCGCATAACTTTTTTTGTATTACGTAAATAAATTATTTTGTCTTCACTTAAAACTACCTGCTATATTGAGGAAAAATGTAATTCTTATTTTTAAATACAGTAAAAGATCTTGCACTGGCGATAATGGTGTAATGCCATATCACCAATTTCTGGTACGTTGTATTTAATAAAAGTTAACGAGTCTTACAAAATAATTTTGCAGACGGAATGATTCTATACCGGGACAATGGAAAAATAAAACATAAGAATCTTCGATACAAATTTATTAAGAATTATTTTTAATCAGCATAATAATCAACATTTGAATATGGGATTAAAATCTAGGCTTCTTGTTTTTTTAGGTCAATTTATTTAAACTTTTTCGGACCAAATATCAAATCAGCGTCAGGGGCGCCTTTAGGATGTTGATACTTCTGTCGTATATGTTGCCCTCTGTTCGGATTTCCTCCTCCACCAGATCCACCTCCACTCTCCGCGCTGTATTCTTCTTCTTCTTGTCGTTCAGAAATATTTAACGTCAAACTAAAAAAAGTATAAAAACCATAAATATTTGATAGATACCCATAAACAACATTGGAATCTTGTTGGAGAAGTCTATGGACAGCGGTCGCATCGTTAATTTAGCCAAATCAAGAGGTCTTGCTCGTTTTCTACCTTTTTACTATTAAAAAAAACAATTTGCTTAATACATATGGTCAGTTGTACCATTGATTTTTTTTTTTCACAATAAAAAGAATCGTAATTTTACAATGTTTTGCTTTACCGTTTCATTCTTTCCATCTCCTGTTTGTCGGCAAGTGCTTGTTGTTGCAAATTACTGGCAAATTCCGGTGGCGCGTTAAACGATTTGTACTGCGGCTTCGATCCTTTTCTAACCATTAAAACGAACTCCACGCCTACTTTACCTTGCTACAAGAAAAATAGTTAGTCAATAAATAGTGCACAATCAATTATAGATAAAAAAACGCCATTTACCATAAGTTGTTCGTAAGTTTTTTTCGTGGTTTGACGACACGTCATTGGTACAGCAATATCTCTCTGTTGAGGTCTGTTTTCTCGTTGTCGTTCCGCTATATTTTCCGTAACCATTTTCTCAAAAGCATTTTCAAATTCCAGATCCTCTACCTTTAATCAAAAAGATATATTAATGGGGATACTATAAATGTTACTGTTATACATACTAGAAATGCCAAATACCGGTTTAGCCGCTGGACGCCGATCTTCTACAATCATTTCATCATTTTGATCATTGATGTCATTTCCTGCATTATCTGTGATCGGATCTTCATCAGAACTCTCTTCTGGCAATTGTGGATTATCAGTTTCATCATCCGTTTCCATAATCGTGTCTAAGCCATCATTAACACTATCATCTCCGTGATCATCATTATCATATTGTTCATCTTCACCAAGCTCTGGGTACAATATCTGTCTCAAATCTTCAATAGCATCTTTACACTGTTGCCAACTTGTGAACAGATTTAACTTCGGTCTCACGCTCGTCAAACACTCCTGGTATATATAATTAACGTAGATCGGAAACTTATTAGTCTCATTCCAACATGGATCCGAATATTTGAACCAGTAGTAGTTCTGGAAGAAGACTAAGAAGTAATCTAGTCTTTTCTTGCTGGATCCGCTATTAAAATACGCACCGCATGTCTCAAGTAGAGCACAAACAAGTCTTATTCTGAACACATTGTCCGGTGGATCAAGCGGGGAAACATTGCTATGGTCATTGGTTACTCCAAAAGTTATGAAAGAGTATAACACGGTAAACACATCTCTTGAGTCTAATAGTTTGTAATTGTATAATTCTCCAAGATATCTGACTGTGGCAATTCTTCTTTGGTTATACCGAGGATGTGGATCTTCCATTGTTAGACGGATTTCTTCAAGGATCGTGTCAACTACTGCTGGAGCAACGTTTTCTTGCCATGTAGCTAATTCTGCTGTTAATCTGGCTAAAGCTCGCCTCGCACTTGCTCTCACTCGCCATCCACCAGCTAAGTGTTGTATCGCAATGGAAGATATTTCCGTATCATCCCAATTAAGTTTCCTCATTAATCTTAAAATTTTCTCTTCGTTACTCTTTTGTAAATCTTCATGTAAAATCTTTCGTATGAACTGGTGTATTGGTGGTTCTTCTTCTTTTGGTTGTGCGGGAGTTTCAGGCGGACATACGTAATAGAATGCATTTTCTATTTGCGTCACATATCTAGAGTCTAAAGCTGAAACAGTCTGTGAAAAAGATTTTTTTTAATATCAGCAAAATTTTTGTAACTAACTAATATTTACCATTGCAACTCTAGGCTTGTGCTAGGAATGGTTTTCAATAGTCGAATAGGCGGGATTTGAACCCTCGACCACATGATTATAAACCATACCCTTAACAATTTGGCTATTAAGGCTTGTTTAATTACATTTCATGTTTTTTTTTTTATTATTTCACTTACCTTCTTTCTCATCATCTGTTGTAAATATATCATTGTTCGTTGATGAGTGTCAACATTGCAATATAAAAATCTACCACAAGTTTCTAGAAGATTGCAAGCCATTTCAATGTGGTGATGTTTGAAATCATGTAACAGTACTTTCAAACAATACAAAGCCTCCATTTTTGAATATAAGTTGAATTTCACTAATTCACCAATAAACCTGACCACTTTTATCTGTAAAGAAAAAATACGTTCAATAAAAGCAGTTCTTTAGTTACTTAGTTACAAGTTTGGATGGACCAATCCATCCTAACTTTCACATTTATAATATTAGTATGAACTATGATATACCAAATACCTTGGATTCAATATTAATTTGATCCTTTTTCCTGACATGATATTTAAAATCTTGCTTCAACATTTGACATAAATCTAAACACACATCAGGTAACACAGGATTTAAAATTGCGGCGAATCTAGAATAAAACGGCAACAAATCAAGTCTCGTCCTGGCAACACTGAACAAAACTCGCGTAAGCTTCTTCCGGTTATTCTTTGTATTGAGATTCAAAACGAAATCCACAGCTGCATTGTCTATGAGTTCTCTGTTAATGCAATTTGGCAGTTCGTTTAGAAAAGCATCCAATGCATACCTGTAAATAAGATTTAAAAAAATATTTTACCAACTAAAAAACAAAAATAAAAGGTCATATACATAAAGGCTTACTTATAATACTTTTAATACAAACTTCACAGTTTTTCATTAGGGATTAGGAAGTAACAAAAAATGGTATTGTTTTTGCTCTACTAGCACAGATAGGCAAATAATTATAAAAGATTTGCAAAAAGCAACAATTTTAAGTCATGTTGATTAAAAAAAGTGATTACACTTTTTCTAGCTCTTATAACAATTGGTTCAGTCATTTCAGTAAAAATGTATGTCAAATAAAAGCAAACATGGTAAAAACCTTTAGTATACATACTTGTTGGTGACATTAGCAGGCTGAGCTTCCTCTTGTTCAACATCTGGCACAGCAGCTGGTGGCTCCTCATTGTCACTCAATTCATCTTCCTTTATATCCTCATCCAGCATTTCTTCAGTCACTGTTTCCGCCTTACTCTTCACTGTCTGAAACAAATGTAACAATAATTCAGTTAAAAAAGTTAAACAGATTAAATCCAGCTTCAAATTTTTTTTTAAAACCATAAAACCTGGCTAAAAACAAGATACTATTTGTCTTTGACCAGAAAAAAAAATTACCTCCTTTAATTGATGGGTAGGCATAAAAACTTTTAAATCTGGTAAATCAGTATAAAAAGTCCTTGTATCCTCATCTTGCCATGGATCAGTTCCGGCTTGCATACAAATTTCTTCATTCCCACCAATAGTAACTGTCCCTTGAGTCTCAATAACTGTAAAAGATAAAGTCGGTGGTTCTCCTGCTTCACCTAAATCTTCACCAAGCACTTCCGCAAAGTTCTGTGCGCCTGCTAATAATTTGTCATATGTTGCCTGAAAAAAAAAATTATACAAGTACACTATTGACACTCATTCAGAAAACCATTGATTGTACTGAAATTCAAACACAAATTTTAATCATAAATCTATCTGCGGAACTGCTTAACAGATTTGCTGAAATTTTGCATGCATAATATAGTCTATGAGAATACCTTGGGGACCAATTATGTTTTTCTTTATTTTGTGTGGACAAAATCACGGGTGACGACAGCTAGTGTAGAATATTTCAATCGCAGATATACTGCAACAACTACTTATGGTAATTTATGCCAAATAACCAATCAATCAGTACAATTTAAAGACAGTTATATTCCTATTATACTAATGTTGAAGCTTGTACCTGGTGCTGTTCTAATTGATCTTTTCTCTCCTGTGACAATTCACCTCTGGTGTGCAAAGTTCTTTGGTTTGCTGCATGTAAGGCTTGCAGTTGCGCTCTCTCAGCCAGCAGATGTTTGGTAAGAGATGAAAAATAATCCTTCAAAAGAGTCCTTACAACTGCTTGCTTCTCTGCCGGTAGAAATGTATTCCTCGGGATTGTTATGCCGTATTTCTATAAAAGTACATTATTACATAAATAAACTATAATAATAAATAGCTTATGATAGATTTAAATGAACTAAGAGAACTTTGTGTGAAGTCCACTCATGAGTGTCCTCCACACCTATACAATGGTAGTAGTAGGCCTAGTAATTAAAGGGTTGCAGGAACTGTGATAGCTCAAGGGAGTGATGACTAAATTGATGGTAGTTTCACATGATGGCCAAAACCTCTTACGCCAACTCTACAGGAGATGATAATGACAAATTTATATGATACATATATTATGTAACATTTCATAATTGCAATAGAATGTAATGTGTAAGCATACCTCAGCATAATCTTTAATTTTCTTAGGAACAAGCCCAGCGTAATCTTCACCACAATGCTTACAGAAAGATAAGAGAATAGAAATATTGTTATGATCTTCTTTGTCCATATTAATGAGGACTGTCAGCACATTTCCCAATAAAGGTAAACCAGTTTTATTTGTGAAAATTCCTACAGCAACCAACTCAGCATAAAATCTTAAATCAACTCTTAATTTTGATGAATTAGCTATTTTATCAGTAATTTTGAATGTCAAGATTTTCTGCCAGTTCTCAAAGAGATTTGATGAAAAATCAGCATATGTGCGGTGAAGAGCGGCACATAAACTTATAGCTGCAGATATATCAGACATTTTCAACTTAGCTTCAGTAATAGCTGCAGCAACTTCGGATATATACTTCGTTAAATTTAAAACGCCAAAGTCTTTAAGAAGGACATCAATCTGAGATGCACTAAAAGATTTCAATTTCTTCACAAACGTCGTATTCTTTTTTAATCCGGAATCCAATTTCGAAAAATGATTTTCTGGAGGCCGGACACAATTAAGATTTTGATTCCGCAAGTCGCCTTTACATTTTATTCTAGCTTCCAAGCTGGATATATATTCAGACACTGCAAGTTTTTCACTTTCTTCGGATGTCTCAAGCGGCGGTTCTTCAGGTGGTTCTTCATTTTTGTCATTACTTTTTTCAGTGGTTAACATAGTTATTTTGCAAGTAATAACAAGTAATAATTACAAGAATGTAAAATAAAATTGATAACTCACAAACAAATAGCCACATCAAATTTGACATTGACAGAATGGATATGTAATGGAATGTCAAACAAATGTCAGCTATCGTCCACACAAGCCAATACCATGGATCAATAACTGTCTGTTTTACCCCTCTCTGGTGATGGTGACTATGTTAAAGTATGATTTAAGGACAGAAATTATAAAAAATCTTGTTTTTGTTGTCTAACGTCAGCTGATTATTGATTCAGATGGATTTTAACGTATTAGTGTTATTAATATTTTTTTTTTAAAAACAATACAAAATACATAATTCTAAATCAGACACTGCTAAATAGGAGTCTTGTGAAGAGAAAACCTAGCTTATTCCTTATATCTGAAATCTGAAATTAAAACAAAGTTATTTTAATAGAGAAAGAAAGATATAAATGCGTAAGTGTTTGTTATTTGTTCTTGAACTAGAATTGGATAGTCATGCATGGTCACCGCAAATCTTCACCAAAAAATTATGTTTGAAACTATTACCTGTGCAAATATAACCCACAATCAGCATGACACTCGCTTCAGCAAGCCTGCAAGACACAAATACTTTCCATTTTGACTAAAATTCTTCAAAAATATCACAAAATCAAAGAAGACTCCGCCATAAACGTGCAAATCGGGATGTCATGTGGGGTTGTTAGCTCAGGTGTCCGAATTTCAAACAAATAAAAGAAAACCTTTACGCTAATCGCAAAATGTTTGTATTAACACCCGTAACAACAAATAATATTGCATTAACATGTCGATATTAAATTATTAATATTATTTAAAAAAAATTTCAAAGTCAATATTTTTACTGCATTACATTACATCAATTGCTCCTTTTTCTACAAACAAAAAAATTATTGAAATCTGGCAACACTAAGTCACTGTTAGAAAGGGAAATATCGGACACTTGTGGCCCTCTCACTCGTATTCAATTCAATTTTATTTCGCGTGCAAGACTCTTACACACTTAACGTAAGGTTTTATTTTCTTTATTTTTACTGCAAGAGGTACAGAATCTGTACTACAGATAGAACACACTCCTGTTGTACGGAGTACTGAGTACTTATTACCTCCATAAGAATTACTTCATTCAAAATTGTTCAAAATAATAATTTGGCATCATTCGAGTACAGTACATGTTTTGATTAATTTTGTTAACAAGTAGTAATATTATTAATACGAAATTTCATTTAATTTATGATAATATTTTATGGTTAGTTATTGTACTATCAATGAAATTAATTTTACATGTAACCTTAACAAATATTTTTCTTACATTTATTGTTTTTTTAGAGTTCTAGTAAAGGTTATTGTTTTATAATATGTGCGGCATCATATGCGAAATTAGAAGCTCTGGATGTACTTCAATTGTTGTAAGTATATTGTTTTAACTGTATTATTTTGGATTTCTGTCATATAATTTTCTTTATATGATTTTTATTTATATATAAAATATGTATTTTTTCGAAGGACACAAAAGTAGTGCAGCGCATTAAAAACAGAGGTCCAGATTGTTTTCATACATCCGAGATTTCTGACGGTAATTTGGAGCTATTTTTCTGCGGTGCAGTTCTGTGGATGCAAGGAACAATTCCAGTTAAACAACCTCTAGAGAATGACAATGGAGTTTTACTTTTTAATGGAGATATTTTTGATGACACTTGGAACAGTGGATTTAATGACACAGAAATAATTATGGACAAACTTAGCCATGTATGTAACCAGCTAAACAGATTAAGGTATAAAGTTTCAGTAAAAACTTATGTTTTATTTTTACTTTCAGGCAGATTCAGAGGAACATATATTAAAACAACTTAAGTTACTTAAGGGTCCATTTAGTTTAATTTATTATGATAAACTAGAAAACAATTTGTATTTTACTAGAGACAGAATTGGCAGATGTTCTTTATTATTCTGTAAAAAAGAAGATTCTTTAGTTATTAGCAGTGTTATGGGTAATAATTGTTAGTAAATTGAATGTAATAATTTGTATACAGCTTTATTACTAAATTTTTAAAGAATGATTGTTTTCAGGAAGAAGTTTTAATTGCACTGAAGTACCAGCAGGTAATATTCAGAAGCTAAATTTGAAAACTTTTGAAATCACCCTGTATCCGTGGCAAAATGAGAAAAGGGAAAGACAATGTGCTTTAGATGATTGGCTAGAGGAAATACAAAATCAACAGAATTTACCTGATGACAAATTTATCTTTGATTTTGATTCAAATCTAGATCTCAATGATGAGGTATGTACATTTTTGTCACATGAATCATGTTGTTATTTTTTTTAATTACATTTTCAAATGTTTCAGTTAGATATCATTCAAATAATAGAGTCAGAAGTTAGAAAAAATGATGATAAAATAACACTAATGAGAAATTTGATCAATATAGAAAGTATAAAAAATGTTGTTCTAAGAATTACCGATTTATTAGAGAAGAGTATTGAAATCCGTCTGAAGACACAACCAAATAAATGCAAAAATTGCATTAAATTTGATACATCGAAATGTAGCCATTGCACAGTTGGTATTTTATTTTCTGGTGGACTGGATTGCACTGTACTGGCTTTATTAGCAGATAAATATGTTGACAAAGATCAACCAATTGATCTTATAAATGTTGCATTTGGTAAGAATGAAAATTCTTATAATGTACCTGACAGAATTACAGGTAGACAGTCTTATGAGGAATTAAAAAGTATATGTCAATCAAGGTAATTAAACCATAGTAATGTTTGAAATTTGATTTATTTTATAAAAAAAGAGGAACAACAATGTTATCAACACCCGTGGATATCCACAATAGCAAAGTAATCTTTTCTTTTTTCACTCAAAATAATAAAAAATATATTCCACAGGCAATGGGTGTTTAAAGAAATCAATGTCCCAAAAGATGTGTTGGAGGATAAACAGAAGTCAATAATTGCTGATTTAGTATTTCCGAGAAATACAATTCTAGATGAAAGCTTGGGATCAGCTCTATGGTTTGCCGCAAGTGGATATGGATGCACATCATCTTGTAGGGTAAGTCTTCAACAGTATTGTGACATTAAACTGATGAAAATCTTTTTTTTAATGTTTTCATTTACAATATTAAAATATTTCTTGATTCAGGTTCTTCTACTTGGATCTGGTGCAGATGAACTATTTGGAGGATATCTACGACATAGAAAAGCATTCCAACGACAAGGGTGGCTTGGCTTGGACAAAGAGCTTCAACTGGACTGGAATAGAATTTCGTTCAGAAATCTGTCACGTGATAATAGAGTTATATGTGATCACGGCAGACAGCCAAGAATGCCATATTTAGATGAAGATTTTGTTAATTACGTCTTAAGTTTGAAACCATGGTTGAAGTCAGTTTTATTTATTCAATTAAATTGTTTATTTATCGAACCAATATTAATAATTTACTAACGTAACTTCTTTCAGATGTTTCCCTGACGAAGCTTTAGTTTGTGGAGTGGGAGATAAGCTAATGTTAAGGCTTGTTGCTCTCAGTCAAGGTTTAGCAAATGTTGTTACATATCCCAAAAGAGCTTTACAATTCGGATCAAGAATAGCCAATAAGAAGGAAAAGGGTGGAGATTTGTCTAAAAACTTTATTGATTGTAAGTAAATAAAAAGCGAGTTGTCTATAATCAAGTAGTTTATATTACATTTAATCCGGATCCTTCCATTGTTCTTTTTTTGTTATCCATATAGTCTACGTTTACTTAATTTGCAACACATAGCTTTATATAACGGTCATATAAAAAACATAAATGGGACATTTACGTATCGATTTTTAAAATCTAATAATTTAAGTATATGTCCAGAGACAATGAATGAACTATATCCTTGGCCAAATACCATGTCTCCAAATCAACAATATGAGCAAAAAACATCACTGACAGTGACAATTCAATTGTCAATGTCAGTGATGTTTAAAAATGTATTTTAAAAAAATTGCAAAAATATAAGAAAGATCGATTGGCAAGATTGTAAAATATTTAAACATATTAGGTGTTTAATAATTGTAACGAAATCTAGGCAAATATATGAATAAACTAGTGTTCCTCTGATTTCTATGTCGTAATATATAACACGAATTGAAAATGCAGCAGCCTTTTATTAACTCAAAAGATGATATTCAAATAGATCTGAATCAAGTTAGAATAGATATTATTCAGGGTATACGTGAATGTAGCGACCGTGGGCTAACGCAAACAGTTAAATGGTTATCAGAATTAAATTACGCTCTAAGGGATCATAATATAAATAACATGCAACCAAATTACGACGATGGCATACTCCCAGATGAGCGGGAGACTTATTTGTTAGCGAAAAGCTATTTCGATTGTCAAGAGTATGATAGAGCTGCGCACTTTTTGGAAAACAGTAACAGTCCCAAATGTGTATTTTTATTCAGATACTCTCAATACATGTCCAGTGAGAAGAAAAGACTTGATAATTCTACTGATATAGGTCCAGACAATTCAGAATCAACACAAGTATTGTTAGATTTACTATCTTTTTTCAAGGTAAAGATAGATATTGAATTATTTCTGTATACTATAATGTACTTTTGCATTATTTTTAGATGTTTACAACATTTATATCTTCTTTTGTTTTATAGGCAAATCATAATAGTTTAGATGGATACTTACTTTACTTAGAAGGTGTTATTTTAAAGAAATTGGATCTTAGAAGTCAAGCAGTGTCAGTTTTACAATCTGCGGTTGCTGCGGTGCCAACACTTTGGGCAGCATGGGTGGAACTTGCTGGATTAGCAAATGAATATGAAGCCTTAGACTCATTACAACTGCCAAAACATTGGATGATGTATTTTTTTGCAGCTCATGCATTTGTTGAGTTGAAATTGTCAGAACAGGCTTTAGAAGCATATATTGGTTTGGCAAATGCTGGATTTAACAAAAGCACATATGTAACCGCACAAATGGCAATTGCACATCATGATAGAAGAGGTGAGTTGTAATTAAGGCTTAAAAAGCAACATATTGGTGTTACTACTGCTGTTGTCTTATTTTTGTAACTACAATAAACTTGAAATTAACATCATTATACATATGAATGAATGTGAGTAGTGTAATTATTGTTAAAAACATAATATATTTCTGATAAAAAATATATGTTTTAGCACAAGCTTTATTTTTTAATTTTCATTACAATAGTTATATTTCTTGTATTTTCTAGATGTTGATTCAGCATTAGCATTATTTGGTGATCTCTACCAGAATGATCCATACCGTCTTGATAACTGGGATGTTTACTCTCATTTATTGTATTTGAAAGAGAAGCGCATGGAACTAGCTAAATTAGCCCAAAAAGCTGTATCCATTGATAAATATAGAGTAGAAACATGCTGTGTTATTGGTAAGTGTTAAACTTAAAACTTGGATCGCTCAACATTAGGCTGTTAGAGGCAAATTTGCCCTCTAATCCAAAAAAAAAAAGTTTTTTGTTAATTGTAATTATTGATTTATTTATTTAGGAATAAACAATTAGAAAAAATTGTGAATTGATAAAATATTGTTTAATTTATATAATGATCAAACTACACTCAACTATGAATTTTAATTGTGAACTATAACATATTAACATTTCTCATAGGTAACTATTACAGTCTGAGAAGTGAACATCAAAAGGCAGTAGTGTACTTCCAAAGGGCCCTATCTTTAGACCCACAGTATCTCTCAGCTTGGATACTAATGGGGCATGAGTTTATTGAATTGCAGAACTCTAATGCTGCGATTCAGTGCTACAGACAAGCAATTGGTATGTAATGTTTCTAAGTTTATTTTAAACTAGCTTGTGTCCGCGCCGACTGTAGTTAAGAACTAAGTAGCCTATGGGTTTTACAGACTGTGTTAAATCTTTGCTAAATTTAACCAAGATCTGTAAATATGTTCTGGATGTAAATTGTAACATTTACCCCTCTAAACGTTTGCATTTATAATTTTACTTCTCATGTATGAAGGTTTGTTAAAGTTTATAGCCTAAGTGGCTGAACAGATCTCAATGAAATTTAGCACAGATGTAGAGGATAGTCTGGAAGAACTCATGGGATGTTTACTTTTGTTTTTAATCCCACACAAACGAAGTCGTGGGCGAAAGCTAGTGGTAGTAATAAAAAGATTATTTACAGATGTCAATAGGAATGACTACAGAGCGTGGAATGGATTAGGCCAAGCATATGAAATTCTTGGTTTAAATGGATATTGTATATATTACTATTCAAGAGCGGCACAACTGAAGCCTGATGATTCTAGAATGTTGGTCTCCCTTGGCGAGGCTTATGAGAAGATGGAGAAGATCCCGAATGCTCTGAAATGTTATTACAAAGCTCATAGTACCGGTGATATTGAAGGAATGGCACTTTTTAAATTGGCCAAGTAAGTTTGAACATTATTTAATAAGACACCTGTTAATACAATTACTATTTTATTTAAAAGAAAAATAATGTATTTCCACTTTTTGCAGTAGATATAAAAATCAACCATTTATACTTGTCATATTTGACTGGCCTTATCTCTCTATTTTAGTATAGGTACAAAAACACTTTTTTGGGGGATGTATTAGTTGACAAAGATGGTTTATAACCAGCTTAAAAAAAATAGATTCACAATTCAATCGGTTTTACATTATTTTGCCTTTTAAGTCATTTTTTTGTTTGATGTGAAACATCTGCCATTTGTTTTCTACAAGACTAAAATCTACGCAAACCTTTTTTCTTCAAAAGCGTACCAAAAATCGGAAATTGCTTTGATAGTTTTCTTTTTTTAAAATATGTTCTTAATGTACTAATTACTTTTTTTAGATTATACGAGAAGTCGAACATGCCGAACAGCGCGGCGGCGGCGTACACCGCGGCGTGCCAGGAGGCGGGCAACGCGGGCAGCAAGGAGCTGCCGGCGGCGCAGCGCTACCTCGCGCAGTACTACCTGCGCTTCGCACTGCTCGACCACGCCGCGCACTACGCATACAAGTGCCTCGACCACGAGAATGTAATACCTTCTTCTCTGTTCTTTGATGTGACCGGATTTCATGTAACACTAAGAATGCGCTAGATGTGAAATCTTAGAAATTAAGCTAAATTGTAATATGGAAAATAACGTTTTTGGCATGTTAAGTAAGATAAAATTAGATACATATGAGTGTAATTTTCATAGTACTCTTGATGTTTTGTTGAGTTATAGTAAACCCGGTGCGCCAACCCCACGGGAGTAAGATAAGGCAGGGGAGATGATGGCCCTTTACTTATAATCTATAATCTACTATATAATATAATATATTATAATATATCAAGAAGTTCTTTGATTTTTTTTCAGACCAAAGAAGCCGGTAAGAATATATTAAAAGCCATATCAGAGAAGCGATTGGCAGCTTCGTCGTCTCAGTGCGCGAATCTACCTGAAGATTTACCGGAGGCCATTAAAAATATATCTACCTCTTCGATAAGTCATGACGCGTCGAAGACTCCGTTCCCCAGCCCCGACACCGCGCCAGATAACTTCTCTACACCGATGTACTCTAAGAAAACCAGCAAATACAAAATGTGACATACAAGTGTAAGGAAAAGTAAAATGTAAAAGTTCAAAACTCTGTGTTACATGTTTCTGAATGTAAATTAAGCCTGTTCTCATTATTATAGTGAATTTTCATTTATACCTTAAAACAGTGGTCAGCAAACTTAAATGTAAAACATTAATTATTTAAAAAAAAATGGGAATCAAGCCCGCTACTTAGTAAACTTTTATTACACCAAATAAATAGTTTACTATACCTAAATATAAACATAATAAATATTTCTTAATGCTAATAATGTGCTTGCATCTCCTCGAAAACTTTAAGCAAGTCAGAGTAATGCTTGAGAGCCTGTCACATGCGACTCTGAAGTCGTGGTCGGCAATCACTGCCTTAAATGACCCTCAAAAGAATTACATTACGTTTTAAAACATTTTTAATTTCGCTGGAACGAATGTAAATGTATAAAATTGGTGAATTAAAATAAATATTCTATGGAGACATTTTTTTTTATTTGCATTTCCTTTGTACAATACTTCTGTCGTCAAAGGTTTTAGAAAATTATATCCATGTCTATTTGGTATAAATTACAAATAAAACACCGATAAAAAAAATTATATTGATTTATTTTTTACAAATTTAAACAAATTAACAGATCTTGGTGCTCAAATAGTAAACATTAATTACATTAAAATTAAATAAATAGTCAAGTGCATTGATTAATAATAAAAAAAATTGTTCAAGTTAGCTCATTGCAAATAAAATTATTGATTACAATCACAGTTGAAACACATTAATTTGAGAGCTTACTTCATGAAAAAAACATCTATAAAATATCAAAAAAACTAAAATTTCCTAAAAAAAAGAGAATATTTGATTCATGTGTCATTTTGTAAGTTACGTAATTAAAACAAAAGCTTAACATTTGCTATTATATTATTAGTAAGGCTTAAATGAAATGTGAAATTAACTAATAGTAATAAATATTACATCTTTTTGTATGAAATAGATATTTCAAACTTTTACAAGTTAACAGTAGATCTAGCCTCGTTAAATCTTGATATTTTTTCATACATCATGTCTATTGACAGACAAACGCATGTTTAGACTCACTAATGACTTGGAGTATGACGAATTAATATTCTAAAGCCTTCAGTCAAACCATAACTGATTAAATTTTTAACAATAACATTCCAATATTCAAATAAGGCACATGTTTAAGAACTTTGATTTTTAGGCTAACAAATTACGTAAGATATACAATTAAGTTTATTTCCGTATTATATTGCAACTAATTGTAAACTTCATCAATTTCAATTGAAGACAAATTGATCTGTATAAATGGATAGGTCATTGGAAATGACAGCTCTTGATTTCTAAATTAAAAGTGCTTGTTAACACAGGAAACTAACTGTTAGTGCCAAAACAGCGAAATTAAAATAGACACAATATATCACATGTGTACATTAGTTATATAGTCTGTCAATTTATATAGATCAGCATGTAAAACGCAAAAACTTAAATCAAACCTTAGTTGTGTTCTGAACAATTGGACTGATCGTTTTCCTATTATAATAATCTTTAAGTAAAATGTATGATGAAGTTTGCAATCGGTTTCAATCTGTCAAATGCAGTATATAAAAAAATGTAAATATAACTACTTAGTTCATTTCAAATAATTTGTGCCACTTCTAGTCTTTAGTTAACATTTGACATAAAAAATCGCCAATTTTATAATTATTGACTCAAAGCTTTCATTAAATACTATAAATAATAAAGCTACCAGTATCTTTAGTCTTCATACATTCAAATACTTATTAATCACTCCTAAAGCTCTTTTTTTACATAATCTCTATATGAGAAATCTCATAAAGTTTTAAGGCAGATTTAGGCACTTTAATTTTACAACCATAAGCATGTTAATACTATTGCAGTGTAAATATATTTATAAATAATTGCTATGTTTTAACGATATTAAATTTGTAGCTCGATTTGTGCTTTCTATTTTGTTCTTAAATGACTTATTCAATGACTCATCAAAGGAAGGGGTTTTTGGAATTCCCAAATGTCTGGTTGCTTGACGGCTGAAAAAAAATAATCTAATCTAACTAATTTGAACTTATTAAGTGTTTGGGAATTTCCATATAAAAATTAAATATTATCTTATTACTCCAACAACTGAGTCATATAATACATATGAAATAATAATATTTACATATTGAAGTTCTATGTATATGAGTCAGGAGGAAACAAAAAGCATAATAAAACTGTTATCATCAACTTGCCAGACTAACTTCCTGTGTTATCAGCATAGAATTGAGGCACATAGTTATTGCACTGTATTCTATTTTATTAATAAGGCATTTAAATGTTTAATTATTAATAACAGATGTTGCTCGCAGCTTCGTCCATGTGAAATTAAAAAACAATAAATAAAATGTAGCCTATGTTTTGCTCACAGATAAATTACTTTTGTAACTGTCCCAGTCGTTTTTGAGTTATTTCAATACATACAATAATACAAATCTTTATAATATTAGTTTATATTAGTAGATACAAGTTAATACAAATAATTATTACTTACTGGCCATTATAAAAACCAATAAAAAATATTTATTATGACTGAACATGACCAATGCTTTCAATAACTAGATTTATGGTATTATTGTTTTTTTTTTTTTGTGAAAATTAACAAAAGTGTACAATAGCCATATTATGTATGTTACATAAGAGATGGAAATAACATAAAACTCTTCAAGATGTAAGTTCCAATATATGTTTATTTCACACTGGTATATTGTGAGATTATGGTTTTTTCCCAATATAAGATGCTTTGTGTTGTTGAAAAATCATGTGAATAGATATGAATTAATTTAAACAATAACATTATAATATTTTTCGTTTTGTGGGAAATATAGAGGAAGTAGTTGAAGAGAATTATGCAGATTTTATCATGTACCATAATCATACTAATATTAAAAATGCGAAAGTTTAGATTGATAGATGTTGGTTAGAATCTGTAGCCTAAACGGCTGAATGGATCTAGATGAAATATGGCATAAATGTAAAACTTAGTCTGGAAGAACACATTTTTTAATTCCACACGGACGCAGTCGCGGCCAACACCTAGTGTGGAAATATTTTTGTGCATTAGTCATATTGACTGAGTATGTACTTTTAACCTTGACATTAATTTGGATGATTCATGCTATTTTTTAGGTAAAAATGCTTGAACTTCTTAAGGTTTTTAATTATTCTATGGTGAGATAGTAATATTTGCAAAAAATTTCTACACAAAAAATTTTAATTTAAAAAACATTTGAATTATGTTGAAAATCACACTAAGTTACTAATGTATTATTATGTATTAACCATAGGTTCCTCTAAATCCATGTTTTCCCTACAAACATTTCAAACAAATACAAATAATAATAACTTTTTAAAACTTACCATGAAAGGATTAACTGGAACCGGAGGTGAAGTCCAACCACCATTGAAAAATGGATTTTTATTAGAGAACAAATCATTGGTAGTTGTGCTTTGGAATGGATTCTTATTATTCATATTATTTTCTTCTGAAAATATATAAACATATTATATTTATCTATCTATACACTAATTTGTGGCATAGGATGTCAACAATGACAGCACAGCAATTGAATCTTCAATCTATACTAAAATGCCCTATACTTATGATACACTATAGGCTATATATTTTCACACTATTAAACTTAGGGATACATAAATTGGGTAAAACTCTCATGTAGGAAAGGAACCATAAACTACAAGCTGCCAACATTAAGGAAGCAAGGTTATTATGGTAACTAATTTTGACATTTGCAATTGAGAATTTAACAAATGAAAACAATAAAATAAAGATTTTACAATGTGAATGGAGCCACATGGGAACAGCTAGTTTAAGTATAAAATCTGTTGTATTATAAAATAGTTATATTTACCCATATTTTTCATGTTCTGCTGTCTTAAAGCTAAGTCTAAGTCTGCCAGGGCAGCATACCTATCATCTGCAAAACATATAAAATTACTAACACAGTTTTCATCATCATCATCATCTCCAGCTCACTATAGGTCCCCACTGTGGGTCTTGGTACCTACACTAAGTTAGAGCTAGTCACCTTAACAAAATTTTCAATTATAATTAATAGAATAAATATGTTGACAAAAGTAATATAAATGTGGTATTGTATAAGGTAAAATTGGTTAAGGAAATACTATGGTCTAGTTGAAAAACAATTTCATGTAACTAAACAATATTAATAATACCGATGTTGATGTAGGTAATTTTTATCACATAATGGTAAAAGAGCAAATTGGCTGTAATATCATTTATTCAGTTTAGATAATAATAAAAAATAAATTTATAGAAAATAATGATACTGATAACTTACTTGGATTATTAGTACTTGTAGTGTTTGCAAAAGCATTAAAAGTTGTGGACGGATTATTGAAAAAGTTATTATTCACATTATTATTAAATTGAGCACTGTTATATATATTTGCCGTAGTGAAGTCAACAGGAAAGCTGAAACAATTAATTAATTTTATTTTAACTTTTATTAAAGTAACAAAATAATTGAGATTTTTTTTACTTACTCAGTGATGGGTGCTGAGACCGGCGGTGTGGAGATTGGAGCAGTTATGACAGTAGGAATTGGCTGCGAGGTATTAACAGGTCTTGCCAATTTTTGACTGGTATCACTAGCTGGTGTATTAACTACTTTAGCCATGCTCACCATTACATTATTATTACTGTTTTTCTGAGTTTGCGGAGATATTGATATCAAAGGTGCGGTTACGGATGCGCTGCCGATCGACTTCACTTTCGTTTTATTTTTTATAGACGAACTACCATTCGTAACAGGGGGATTATTAAGTGGGGTGTCGAGGTAGTAACGCTTCTTTTCATATTTATCAGACATAAAATCTTTAACGCTTTGTTCGTCGTTAAAGTTAACACTTTCTCCATCGTAAAGACCTAACCACACGCGTCTACAGTGATCGTTTCCTCTTGCTTTGATGTATTCTATCTCTTCCGGTGTAAACGTGGCCATTGAGATCGACTTCACGCGATGAGGAGGTGTAAGACCACGCCTGAAATTTATAATACAATACTAACTTACTGTTTGTTGTTCTCATTTGATCATATAACGCAAAAGTTATACTTACAACATTCCCGAACATTTTGAACAGACAAAGGAACCAATTGTAGTGTTAACGTAGGTGGGTCCTCTTTGATTACAATCTAAGCAATATTTATTTCCATTTAGAGATATAAGTTCACGCAAAATTTCCAAATTTCTGTCGTCTTGTTTCCGACGGCTCGCAGCCATTTTTCGTTATGTATAAATTTTATTTACGTATTCTTGCCGATGCCTTTTTCTTTGTCTATGAATGAAAACTGTCAAGAAGCTGTCAAATCAAATGTCAGAAAGCTGTCAAATAGCTTTTGCAAAGACAACTATTAAATTTTTAGTCAGTTGCATTGTTAAAGGTCCTTGTGCCACACTACTAATTTTGAAATTCAAATATTAAAATTATTACGTGTACAACATTTCTTTAAATTCGATTATGCTTTAAGTGATATACGAAAACCATTTTAACAACAATATTCACGGAGACAAAATGTGTCCGTTTCTGAGCAGCAATCTTTCGAGCTTACTGATATTGTCACTTGTTGTCAATGTCATGTCAACTGTCAACTGGTTGAACTTGAATTGGTTTTGTATTGGCTTTTCGATTTTTATTGCGTTTGCGTTGTTACTCGGCAACTTTATTGTTTTACATCATTAGTATTTAACATTCGACGTTTGAAAAATACTGGCATCGGTTGGTTTTGTACGAATGCGGACGTTCTGCCGACAAGTGGTGAAGAGTTGAATATTGTCAACTGTAAACTAAGCTGTCGGTAGATCAAGTAGTTTAAAAAAAGAGTTGTTCAGTATTCAATATTACTTGCTGATCACTACTAACGCAATTTGCAATTTAAACTTCAAGCATTAGTAATTGTGAATAAGTGAATAATGGCAGAAAACAATCCTGACTCAATTCCTTCTGACGTAGAAAACACCTATAACACACCAGCAAATGATCCTAAAAACATGCAAGAGGTTACACAGTATGTAAGTAGTTTAATTCTAAGCCAAACATGACACAAATATTTAATGTCCACTTTACCTTAATGGTAGGATCATTTATAAAAATTGTTGCATTTACAGGTCCAAACTCTGCTGCAAACAATGCAGGATAAGTTCCAAAGTATGTCAGATCAAATAATAAATAGAATAGACGAAATGGGGACCAGAGTTGATGAATTGGAGAAAAATATCACTGATCTTATGACTCAAGCTGGAGTTGAAAATGAGAAGTAGTACCTTATTCTACAGCTAGTGTAGTTAAATATATTACACCCAAAGATATTCTGTGCCTGGATTTTTAATCACTGGATAAAAATTAAACCACACAATATTTATGTAATAATATTTAACAAATAATCCATTAGTAATATAAAATAATGTGGTAGAAAAAACTCTAGATTTGTAATCAAATGAAAAAAAAACATTTGTAATTTGAGTTTTTAGAATGCTTTGATCACCTTGCCAGTATCTTTAACTATAAAAGGATAATTATAACATAAAATTAGATTTTAAAAAAATATTTATCATGTTTTTAAATTTTTATTGTATTATTATCAGTGTATGTATTTTTTTTAATTAAATAATGGCAGGTTATGGCTAAAACAACAAAATGTTTTTTGTATTTTCACAAAATTAACACTCAATTTTTCACATACTAATCCAAATGTGGACAGTTAAATTGGCATTTACAGTTTGGCTCATTAAAACATGAGGAAACATATAATGTAAGAATTCAAATTTCATTATACAAATAGTTTACCTTTTATGCACAAAAATGCTGTAGAAATTTGTAATGTTTTCTTATTAGAATGTATGAATGTTGGTGATAAAAGTGATATGAGTATCATAGAAACATACTGAATGTAATCAATTAAGGCATACTAGATTTTGTAATAAAAAATATATAGATTTGCACTTAATTTTTACACATTGTTCATTAGATAACAGTGCAAATATATTTAAGAATTGTGGCATAAATCAAACTTTGTAACATGAATTGATTTTTAATTAAAGTTGATTCATAAAAATTTGCTGTTTTTTTTTTGTAGATTGTAAGGGGTGAGTCTCTGAAGCAAGTATTGATTTTGATTTGTCCCTGATACAAGCTGGCACAAAATAAGGGGAAGTAATGAGCATGGCAATAAATATGAATCGAAACTGATACAAAACATGCAAAGACGTTTATAGTCTAAGAGCTAGTACATGTCAGAGTGTCGCGTTTATCGATGTTTACGCGACTCAGAAAAATCAATGTAAATTTAGACAAAACTTGTTAATCTCATTTGTAATACGTATTTATATGAAACGCCATATTTTATTTATATTTCTTGACATGATTAAAAAAATAAAAATGACAAACTAGAGCACAAAACATTTATTTCTTACATTACAAAACTTAATATATTTTCAAGAAGTAATTATCGTGACTCAGTTTCTTCCGACGATTCCTCTTCATCTGATTCGGAATCCTAAAAATTAAATAATATTAGAGACCATTGTATTGTACAGATTTTTGTGGCGATCATTACATGATCATTACCGAACCCCTATGAACGTTACTTATAATGTCATAATTTATAACTAGCTATTGCCTGCAACATCGCCCGCGTAAAATTAAAAAATACAGTCTATGTTACACACTGATAACGTAGCTTTTTAATGGTGAAAGAATTTTTGAAATCGGTCCAGTAATTTTTGGGTTATTTCAATATATACAAAAATAGAAATCTTTCCTCTTTATAATATTAGTATAGATATGGATGTAAAATTTAATATTCTGGACAAAAATAAAATAACACATCGTCAATACCGTAGTTTCTTCGTCTTTCGACGAAGACTGATTCATCAACGCAGCGAGGGAACCTGATCTTTGCTTTGCCACCGCGGCACTCTTGTCGGGCGATCTCAGTCTCCCCAAACTCTGAAATATTTCTTTTATAAGTTTCAAATGGATACGCCTACGATTGTACCTTAACGGTTAGAACGCATATAGACCTTGCAATTTTATGTACATAAAAGTCGATATACGTCTATGATTACTCTTCACGATATCTTACAATATTGTTAACCGTCTTCATCAGTCTGGCGGCGTAAACGTAAAGAAGCACACAGCGTAAAAAAAGTTATGAAATATGGAAAATGATAAAAGTAGTTTAGCTATTAGTGTATAACTGGGTTAGGGTGCATGTGAAGTCCATATTTTTTTATATTTACCGCCGTATCACCGTCGTCTCTCGGCGACTGTGTGTTCATGAGCGTGGCCAGAGACAAAGACCTCGCTGATATTCCGGTACTCACTTGTTTTTCCGGAGATCTTAATTTTCTCTTGAAATTCTAAGAACACATGCGTGTGTATAATAAATGCATTTTAGTAATGGTATCTATAAAGCTATGAGTAAGAAAACATTTAATATAATGTTTTTCTTCTAAAATGTTTTTTTTTTTTATATTATTTAATATTGCGACTGATAGGTGATAGAAGTGAATATTGACAAAAGAAGGCTACTTTAATGTTGTTCTGAATGTGAAGCAGTTCAAAATAAGCAATTTATAACATGCTGGTACAGTGCAAAAAATATTTCATTAAAACAGTGATTAGATTTCAGTGATGTAACAGCGTGTCCTTTGTTACAATGCACGTATTGTATATAGTGAGAATTCATCTATGTGCAAAAATTGTTCGCTTATCTGTAATATGTATTTTATAAAATATATTACCGTTGGTTCTTCAGGTGTAAGGCCTGTGTCCAATAGCTTGAGAACAATTATACAAAAAGTACTAAATGATTTATTTTCTTTGCTTCAAAGTGAAATAAGACAATAAATTCTAATTGATTTTTAATCCTTCCCTTCGATATTATCGTATCCATAATTTTAAATTATAAATATTTTACTAAATGTCATTTAAACAAGTATCTTGAAATTCAAAATGATTGTTGTAATACGTAGCTTATTAGGAAAATATTTATCATTACAAGTTTTATACATATAAATGAGATGTGATTGTTTTAGTTACCTCTAAATCAGCTCTGTCATTAATATCTGCAATCTGCTGATAAGCCACAGTCAGTAGCTCGACAGCTTTCGTATGGAAAGTCATCTCTATCATCACAAAGTTCGACAGAAGTGATTTAAGCTGCTGGAGCTTACGTCGCTCGAAGAATTCCGTCTGTTCACTCAAACCTTTCGCTGTACGAGACATTTCAGCCGACGCTTTTATTAATTCCGATTCCGCGTACGTCTATATTAAAAAAATACGATCTTTCATTTCCTTTAACAAATATATAACGCATATTCTATAGGAACGGTTATGGAACTTTAGATGACCCGTAGATATGAAATTCATTGATTCTTACTACTTGTTGTCGATTAAATGGTTGTCTTTCCCTGGCTTTGTCTAGAACTTTCTTCCGTGCCATTTCCTTTTCTCTAACGTTCATAGTGTGCTTTAATTCCTCTCTAGCATGTTTGCAGATTGCTTCGTATTGGCATAGCTCACCTATTACCTACGATTTATTTAATAATTTAAACACTAAGTTCAAAACAATGGTGGTATATTTTAAAATTTATTAGAAGCATTAAACTGACGAAGATTTTGAGTGTTCTAAAGAAAATTCTCATCAAATGCATAACTTCTTATCAGACTATTTTTTTAAATTCCTCATCATCTCTGTCCTTATCTTTCTCCCGTAAGGTCGGCGCAACAGGTTTTTGTCCACGTCTTTGTTTTTTTAAATTAAGAACGTATATTTTAAATTGGAATATGGTCTGATTTTTATTTAAAAGAGCATATCTCTATTACGTTCCTAGCAAAATACATCTTCATACTACCTTCGCTTCTAAACGTTGAACTTCACAATTCCTGTATTCTTCGATCGCCGTGAGAGTAATAGATAAGTTATCTAAACCTGAACTTAAAGACTTGTTAACAAGCTCATTGTTGGCATAGTCTTTCACTACTTTGGCCAGTTCGTCGCCCATGTCTCGTACTCTGTCAAAAAGCTCAAATTGTATTTAAGAATTCTATAGAACGAATGTGTATTTTTGCAAAGGAAAGTTCCAGACACAGGAATGGAATTCAAAGGATTAAAATAAGTTGAGATATTCTTAATTTCGCGAAGAAATTACTTCTTTATTTAATGTTTACTACAATACAATTTTTACAATTGGATTATACAAAGTTTACCTAGCAGTCTTTCTTGCGTAATCTCCAAATGCAACACATAAATCTCCAAAATTCTTTTCAACACTTGTAATGCGGTCTTGGATAAATTTTGCTTGCTGTTCATAGCTTAAAGAATGCGAATTGTCTCCTCTAAACATATTTTTACTTTCTAATGATTTTTTGTCTTATTTAAATTTTTATTTGTACTTTGAAAAAGTCTGTTTGTGGAAGCCGTTGCTATGGAAACTTTAACTTGTCATTACAGATTTGGTCATACAAAGTGTAAAAGTCGCCTGTAACTTAAAACATTAAACTATTAAGTACTAAAAAATACGTATTATTTTGTTGTGGTATTTTAATGACTTCAAAATATTTTTTTCACCGTTTTGGCAGCAAAGGCAAAACTAGTTTCGTAAAAACTAACAGAATGACAAGTGACATTTTGGAACAACAACAAAGAATTTTGTATCTGTACATAATTCAAAACAGCTGTTCTTTGATTTTATTTATTTTACGAATTTAGCTTAGTAAAATGAATGAGGAAATCGATGAATATGATATTTATCACCAGGATTTCACTACAGTGTCTGAGTGGGAAGTGTTCGTGGCAAGACTGGAGGAGGTTATCAATGAGTGGCATTTGACGAAATCGAAATTGCCCAAACGTTCATCAGAATACACAAAGAAATGGATTACAAAATCAGAAGATATAAAGCTTCGTGGCATACACTTCACATTGTCGTATCATATGTTAGAACCTGTGAAAAATACTAACGAAGTAGAATATTCAGATGATCAATCGCTTCTTTCTGATTTACAGAAAGGGCTTTGGGAATCAGCGTCAAATTTTATGGATGATGTTGACGGTAGTCCTTTTCCTGTTTCTAATTGGTTCGGTCTAAAGAGATATTTAATGCTATGCTCTAGTAGTCCATTGGTAGAAGGAAGTATAATTAAACTGGTGATGAGTTCTGTAAACATAGCAATTGGTAATGTTGAGTGTGGTGTACCTTTATTTGTTAAAATAAGAGAGCATTGGCAAAATGTATACTTAGGTGTGTATGAGGATAACGATTACAAGACAAGTTTTGACACAATACATTTGAAGAGAATTTCAAATCATTGTTCTCATCTTAGTGGTCTTATGAGTTTGTTTAAATCTAAAATTGCATCACCTATAGCTCTTGATGCTGTTCTTGTATCTACTAAACTCTGTTTCGAACTAAAAGATTATGAAACATTTTTGTGGAAACAGAGAAATAATTCTAATGAATTTCTATCAATTGATGAATTTGATGTTAAGGAACTGACAGACCTGCCATTTGGAGCTGAAAATAACCCTATACAAAGTGCTTGTTTAAATGCAATTTGGCCGCAGTTCCGTGAAAGTGCAATTGTTGATTCTTCAATATATTCCGATATTGATCCAATAATGGCTCCAACATGGACAATAACAATAAAATTACGAAACAACATTCAATGTCAATTATCTGGAATTATAGATAAAATGATGTCATTGTTAGATGAAAGAAATTTATTAATGGATATATTAGGTTTAAGTAAGAGTTTGGGGCTGGTGAATCCATTGCACAAGATAACGGAAGCTCCTATAACAATATCAAAGCTAGTAAAAGCTGCAATTGGTCAGGGGACAAGTGTAACAGAATTTGTAGGACCAATAACTGATGATCTACTGATGCCATTGTTGTATTATGTTTTTCCCGATGCAATTGAAAACAGTAACTTTCCATATCCTGATCGGCTAGATTTGGAATCTAAGCAAGTATGTTAAATTACTATTTTTTTATAATGCAAATGTACCAAAAAAATATTTACAATGGCTTAATGCATGTATGGTAATGGCACCAAATTTAAGAAATTGACATTTTGTCCTTGATTAATTTTAGTTACATTTTTTGCAATAGAATTGAATAAAATCACTTTTGTACATTCTATTTTTTATAACATAGCTCTAATTGTGTAATTTTTATTTGTTCTTTGCAGAGTGAGGGCAGTGAGTCAAAACTGTGTAGTTACGTAAAGGCAAGCCCTAAAGATGGTTTGGTGTGGAGACTCTCGGTGACTGCAATCAGGCTGTTAGATGCAGGAGGTCTTCCTTACTTGGCACACATCTGGTATGAGTTTGTACAAGAACTACAATATCGTTGGGAACATCGGATTCTTTTACCGGGGTAAGTGACATGTAGAATTTATCTGTTTGTTTATTCTTATTAAAAATATTTTAATTTGCTGGGAAACAGATTATTGTATTAAAAACATATAGATAAAGCTATTTATTATTTTCAATAATTTTATCATAATACATAGATTCTCTGTACAATTTTCAATAATTAATAGCACCATTGGGATAGCCCATAAATTCACTTAAATCTATTTAAAATGAACATCTTTAGATTTTTATTTTACAAACACATTCTTAACATGTCTTGATACATTATATATTTATCATAACCAATTTTCGTATATACATCAAAATATTTAAATTAATATGAAAGTAATTTGGGATTTTTTATCAATTAAAAAAAAATAACTACTAATAGAGTATTGTTGAGTTATTGCAGTAGAGATTAATTATTATAACAAATATGGTATTGGTGTTTCCTAATTTTCATGTTTATTCTAAATTTCTAGGCGATTGTTTGATTACTCTATTTATTTACACTTACATTAATTATGTAAATTAATTGTTAACTTAATTAATAATGTGTTTAATTAATAATAGATAAAAATCTAGATCATTAACATAAAATCATGAATAAGTACCATAGTATTTTTAATATTTTATGTACATTTACTACCTAAATGGTAAATATATAATCTTGTGCATTAATAAATGAAAACAATTGTGACTAGCAGTATTTACTTCACACATTGTGTATTGCTTTTGAACAATTGCTGTAAGAATTCATTGATTAATTTAAAACACATATAACGCCCAGCAAACTCCTTGAACAAAAAGCGGCGTAGTGGGGGAAGTTTCGCGCACGTACGTTTTGGACAAAATAATTGACCTATTTTGAGTATTACTAATAATTAGGAATGAAAAATTCAATTTTAAATTTTAAGAACATGACAGACATGCATAAACAGCTTGTGCAATTTCTTTAGATGATTCTTGTTTCATGAAACAATATACATCATATACTATTTTCCTGGCTTGTCTTTTTAGAACAATGTTACTTTTCGTGGCATACTCAACACAAAAAGTCAAAACAATAACAATCAAATAAAACTTAACAATAATAAACAAATGAGACTCAATAATAACAACAATAGAAAAAAATTATAAACAATTATTACCGAAAATAAGTAACAGCGAAATTGGGCCAACAAAATTGGAGATAAGTGTATTCAGGAGTAAACGGAACATGGGGAACGAAGCGGGACGCAAAGGTCGACTGATTAACCAATAGCAACAGAGCGCGCGCGCGCATCCCCCCTTGCCCCGCCAAAAAGACCCAAAAATCGACTTCTGCGCAACTAAATGTTCAAGATGTTTGCCGGGCGTTATACCTATGTTTATTTTATGTACATTGATATTTTTAACGTACTTTATATAATTCTATATTTATTTTAAACATTAACAAATCGTTAAACACTCATAATATTAATATTTTTATAATTGTCATTTTGCATTTAGAAAGTTATCTCTTTCTACAATGAAAATTCACATCACATTATGTTATATATCGTTTTCTGTAACCCAACTTGTAAACTTTTATTATTTAAGTTCGAGTGGGTTTCGCTTATTATTAATACCTAATAAACAATCTTATTTATTAAATATACCTAGGTTCGTGTAAAGACATTTCAGTCAAGTATTCTAACTAACGTCGACGTAGTTATAAGTTATTAAAAATCGGGACTTATCAACTGTTGGTATCATAATTTTCCCATGTCCGGTGTATGCATTTATCTTGCTTGTTGCGTGTGCGACGGAGCGAGCGGCGGCGACGGTCGCGCGAGCGATGCTCATGCGTGCACCCCGAGGTGTAGCCCGAGGGGCCCTTTCGCGAGTGCGAGCAGCGACCACCCGTCCGTCGTGACTCCGCTCTGTACCTCGCACCGGTCTCTCCGCCGCGCTATAATGGCACCAACCCGCCCCGCGCAGTCGGATTTCGGGCCATATAAATGTCCATATCGTGATCCGTCCAGTTGTCGGACGTGTCACAGTAACCTAGTCCTATAGAGCCGACGCTATACCGACTGGCCGGCCGCGACCGTGACCGCGGCCTTCTTCTCGAGCCGGCGGTGCCGCCTGTCGCACCCCCGGCAGCGCCGCTCAACGACAGTCTCGAGGCGCGTTCCGAAGTTCCGCCCAACGACTGCCGCGATTGACGTAGATCTAGAAATAAAAGAATAAGAAAGTGTAGTATTGAATCAGTCTTATTTCTAATATCTACGAAGAAATATAAAATGTCTCGAAAGATCGGTGGAGGTCAGGGGAACTTACCGGCTCTCGATCCTAACAAACTGCCTGGGTATGCTGGTGGACCATAACGTCCGGATTGGGAAAAACTATGTTGTGACTGGCCGTCTGCAAGGGATCGAGCGCGGCCGGGTCGGCCCGGTAGGGGTTCCGGAGCAGCCGGTTCTGTATAGGTACGTGCGCGGGGGATCGAACGTGCACTATAAGCCGACACCTGATCCCACTCACGCTGCTTTCCGAAACCGCCGATTGTAGCTAGTGAAGACAGTGGCCCGTTGGGACTCGGCGTTCCTGGAAGACCACCGCAGCAGGCGCTGGGCAACTTCTCAGGTGCCTGGTTGTGCAGTCGATGTACGGTCCGAGATCGGCGACGTGATGCCGCCGCAAAGATAAGGACCGCTACTACAATAGTTCCGCAAATAGCTGCGCTCGCAGCTATTGTGATTTTGTCCATATTAGAGGCAGCTGCTGATACAGTGCGTACTTCTCTGCACTGTGAGTATGGCACTGTCTCAGGACTCACATGGACTTCTTCCAAAGAAATTACACAGACGACGATACATTCCTAAAACAGAACAAAGGCATGTTTATTGGACCTGGTACTTTAAATTAAAGATTTCAAGGATATACAAAGTATAATTCAGTTTACCTGTGACGGGACGTTTTTTATTTTAAATTCTCTTTCACTGGCTTCCAACGGCGGTCCTTGTTTGAAACTTTTATCTCCAAATAATCGGTATACAACGCGGAAGCCGAGTATGTTGGCAACATCCGAATCCCATTGGATTATTACTGAGTTATCTTGACGATAAGCATTTTTAACGATAACTTCGTTAGAATCGTCTATTTTTGGTTTTTGCTGAGGAAAGTTCATAATTAATGGAGGTCTTTGATTTGTACCGTGCCTCCAATTAGGTACCGCTGGTTTTGCTGATGGTATGCGACTTGGTTTATCACTTGTAGTAGTTGTAGCTTGTACGCTAGCCTTGCTTGTCGGCTCTTCGTTTGCAACTGTTGTTGTTAACACAGTTGTAGATGAACTTAAAGTTGTCCGTAAGCTTGTTGTCGACGTTGTGGTACTTGGACTAGTGTTTAGATTAACATCATTTTTCTCCGTCGTAGATGTCGACGTACTTATGGTTGGAAGCAATTTCTCCAAAATTGTTGTACTCTCTTGATCGCAAATAAGTTCACTTGGTTCAAAGCTATAAAAGCCTCTATCACGGAATCGTGCAGGGTTTCCGCAAAATTGTGGATTCCTTTCACGAGAGGTAACTTGTAGTTCACCGCTACGTATCCATTCTATTATCCAGCGGAGGCGGCAATCACAATTTAAGAATCGTCCTCCCACGCTTAGGCCACGAAGTGTGTGATTTAAATGCGCTAAAGCCTTTTCTGGAACAGTAGGCAATGGGTTTCCATCTAATGCCAACAAAGTTATAGAAGGATTCTTCAAAAAAGCGTCAATCGGTACTTTGTTTAAGAGATTAAATCCGATATCTAATACTCTTAGTTCAGTTAGAGTTGCGATTGCGGCTGTGGGAAATTCTGGCAATAAATTATTTAGTAAGCTTAATGAACTTAAAGTTTTTTTGATGCCGCTGAACGCGTCCTCTTTTAAGTTAACTAGTAGATTTCTTTCTAAATTTAACGCCGTTAAGGAATCTAATCCTTCAAAAGTTCGACTTCCTTCAGGACCAGGAAGCTCTCTAATGCTATTTTGAGAAAGATCAAGAAATGCTAAACTACGAAGTCCTTTTATACATTCTGGAACAACTTTCTGTCTAGTGCCTTTCAGATTGAGATTTTTAAGCGAATTCTCTAATCCTGTCAAGGCTTGAGGTGCCAAAGTAACGTTATTGTCGGACAACTTTAGTGTCGTTAGTTTTTGCAGAGTGATAAAAGCGTGGTTACCGACGCGTGTTATTCGGTTTTTTGATAAATCTAATAATGACAGATTGGTTAAAATCCTGAGTGTTCTTACGGGTACCTCCGACAATTCATTGTCTTGTAAATTCAAGTTCTTCAGGTATGGTCCTTGTCCTCTAAACGCGTCGTCTTCTATTCTTTTCACATTGCATCCAGATATTTGTAAGTTATGAATCTTAAGGTTCGAGAAAATGTCATCGCTTAGAACTTGTATCGTAGAGTTGTTTATATATAAAAGGTCAATTGATATTTTGCGGGCATTAGAGTTAAGCGCAGTCAGGAGCATGGGGAAGTCAACCTGAAAATAAATATATTTAGCATAAACTATTGTTTATCCATCGATTCATCGATTGGTGCAGATGCGGAAATCTAAAAACCATCTTATTGTGCGTATTGAAATATTTGTTGTATTTGCGTTTTACATACATTAATATTTTTTAATTGTTACCTGGTCACATTGTACCGAGAGATCCCGAGCCAAGTTGAGTGCGCAGACGCATGTAGATTGTAGTATCGGCGTATCCTTCCAAGGACATTGCGCTTGTGCGAGATGTAACATGACCAGGAGTAACCCGAAATATGATTTCAGTTTTTCGTGAGCGTGACGACCCTGAAAAAAACATGATATTTTTTTTTACTTTCTTCGTTTGTGTAACATTATGTTTCTTATGTAAAATGTAAGTAATATTGCATTTTCAAGTAAACTTCCGTTTCCGTGCTTAATAACACGTTGTAAATAGATTGCATGGTTTATGTGTTAAATGTATGTTAATTGAGCACATAGAGGATAGGTTGCATGTTGAGAGACTGTGCATGTGAGACTGCATGCGGGGCGATCAAGCGGCGCGTGCGCCAGCGCGGTGGAGAGAGAACGCCACGCCGATGCACCTGCCTGGAAATGCCGGCTTTCCCTACACTTGCGTCAATAGTTTGATGTACAGTATCAGTCTTTTTAGAATAACCGTTAATGACTGGTATGCTTCGCCAGAATTGGATGAACTGAGACTTAAATTTACAGATAAGGTATTTGCTTATACGAAATTTAAGACTGAAAAGTATTTTTGCTCCTAAACAATAACAATTAAACTTTTAAATTTGTGTTGTATATCATAAGCATGGGCAATCCGAAAGTAGTCCCTAAAATGTATATTTGATGAGACATCGATTAAATTTCTAAACATAGATGGTGCGGTCATTGTAACAGATGTTTACTCTCACGGGGCCGGTTGTGTTGTAAGACGGTAACATTGGCCCGTTTGCGCGACGCCGATTTCGCTGCTAACGGTACCTGTTGCTGTTACATTCCTATTCACCGATTCACTTTCGCATCATCTTTATTAACTTTGACATATTTTATTATACAAGATAGTAATTCGTTACTGATGAAGTTAGCTTTAAGATTGTTAATAGTTTCATGCACATCCCATCTCTTAAGAGTGATTGAACAGAGGAAAATAATCAGTGCTCTTTAACATTATATTAAGTAAAATTGATCATTAAATATATGTTTCTCAACACGTTTATGTCGAATAGTATATGGTTACGTACATACAACGAACCATTGTTGCTAATTGTGTGGGAAAATATATCTTGTAATGATGTCTAGGTCAAATAAAATACTTTAGAAGTTAATCAATTATAGGAGATTTAACTTAAAACCATAAATTGTGAAATCATGTATGTGGTTTGTGTGGTATGTGGCAACATATGATAAATGATCTTCCATTTGAAACAATGTACTGGAAGTTATGAGGTTATGAATTTGATTAGTGCATAAAGTACTATGGCGTACTAAAAAGTACTTAGTAGGTAAGGCTTTATAAAGTACAAGGCTTTATACATAAAAACCATGGACATTCCTTTTTGATTTATGATTCGTTTGAATTTACATTTCGATCCAACATTTCATTCCAATTTGTTCGCAATGTAAACGCATTAGGAAGAGATGAATTGGAAATTGTCATATTACGTATTCTGGTCAACAATGTAGCAATATTTTTGAGCATGCATTGTGCTAAACATTATTTATTATTCGTCCGCACTGCGCCAGAAATTTTTGAATGCATGAATTCATTGTTTTTGAAGGAAAATAATAGTAAATTTTAGTGGCAGATGGTTGTAGATTTTACGTTCTGTTAGGTTGTTTGGGTTATTTTAGTATAAATTAAATTGAATATGTTAATATTCGTTCTAATGCTAAATTCTTACTTTGCATCCGAGTAAGTATAGATAAATGGTTTGGGGTTGAAGATATATTGGCGACGATAAAGTTTTATGGCGTTCTCGCGCCCGAAAACGTATTTCAAGTCGGCAATTGGTTTCCTCGATCAAACTTTAACCGCTTCCGAAGTTGTTAATGTTTATGAGAGTCGCATACTTTGAGGCGCGATTCAATTTGCCCGCGACGATGTGATGACTTCCCTCACTCGCAAATTAGTTTTATAATGTCGTCGAACACAACGAATGCTCATTATCAAACTTTCGATCAAAGATTTTTTATTTTCATTTATGTATTAGGCGTAGAGCGTCGGTGGCCACCGACGTCGGTCGGTGGTTATAACCACTGAGGTTATAACTTGATTTGTAATCTACAGGTCTTGGTTAAACAACCTCGGGCCAGCGTGGTTGACTAAGGCCTAGTCACCCTAACTTTAGGGTTGACTCCGAGCCCTCCAGTGGGCACGCATAGTGAGCTGGTGATGATGATTCGGCGTTTATTTTACATGTGTGTTTGGTGTTAATGTTTTATTGGATGCTCTTAATAGACTGCGTTTAATTTTCTTTTAGTATTATTTATTTCAATTCTATCCCGTTTGTTGTTCTTTATGTGGTTGTAGTGAGGCAGACGGTTGAATAGATATAATTAGCCGGTACACATCGATTACGTTTGTGTGATAATTGTTGAAAGCGTTTGGAAACGATAAATCAGATTTCTAAATCGAGGAACCAGTATAAACAATAGTTGGGTGGTGTTATAAACAGTTAGTAGTTTACGAGTCTTAGAAATATAGGGTCATACTTCATACCTATAGTATAAATGCGAAAGTATAGATGGATGGATGGATGAATGTTTGTAAGAGTTTGTAGCCTAAACGGCTGAACGGATTTTAATTAAATTTGGTATGGATGTAGACGATAGTCTGGAAGAACACATAGGCTCACTTTTGTTTTTTTTTATTCCACGCGGACGGAGTCGCGGGCGAAAACTAGTTATCTATAGCCATTTATATAAAACTAGTAAAAGATATTTGTCCACTGTCATTTGCAGCATAAAATGACTCATTCTATTACTTATAAGATAATCTTGATTTCTGTGTAAAGAATTCAGATGTTTTAGTGAAAGTTGAATCTAACTTTTTAACATGATCGTCAATATTTTTGGAATGACTAGCGAATTTTTACTTTCTATGTGATAATTAGTTTCACCGGTTTTCTTCTCCAATGTCAATGATAATATGATCGGTATTTTAATGTAGTTCCGGAATCAGCGTACATAATATTAATATTACAGGTTTGGTTGCAACTAAACTTTTTATTTATATCAAACTAGCTGTTCCCATGCGACTTCATCCGCATAAAATTATAAAAACTTAATTTTATCGTTCATATTTGTCAAATTATCAATTGCAAATGTCAAAATGACATGACATGATGACAAACCATGGCAACCTTGCTTCCTTGATGTTGGCAACAACTTATGGTCTCTTTCCCAAATAAGGGTTTTTATCCAAAATATTTACCCCCTATGTTTAACGGCGTGAAAATATATAGCCTAAAGCGTGACGTAAGTGTAGGGCTTTTTATTGAAAAAGAGTTATTCGAAAGTATGCTGTGATTGTTGACATCTTAGGCAACAAAGAAGTGTGTGTTTACGTTTATTATATTAGTATAGATAATCTTTATGCATTAGATGCACAAATGCGAAAACATAATACCATGATTCATAATTATTATTATTATTATTATTATTATTATCATAATAACTAACACATTAGCAACAAATAAACTGTACGTAGTTGATACAAACGAGTAAACATTGTGTCCTAGTTACTTGGTTGTACTTCAACTAATTTTAAAAACTGTGGTGTACGAAATAAAACGCAAGCGTAGGGTTCGAGATGTGTAATCCGACTGACCAATAATTATGCATAATTAATAAGGTAATTCGCGGACAGTTTATTTCCGGTTACCTACATTACAAAAACATATGACCATGCATTAATGAGAGCATATTAGTTATTCAATCCTTCTATTTTGGCTCTAACTAATATTTATCTATTCTATCGTTTCACATTTCTAAAAACTTTTTTAGAACCTATAAATTTTCCCAGGTAACCCAGATATAACTTTAACATAATATCATCTATACTATTGTTATAAAGAGATTTGTGTTTTTGGATTTTCGTATGTCATACACATACATGTATTGTAATAACTCAAAAACTACAGGGCCGATTTCAGAAATTCTCTCTCCATTAAAAAGCTGCGTTATCAGAGAGTAACATAGGCTGTATTTTTTTATTTTCACGCGGGCGAAGACGCCAGCTACAACTAGTCGTCGTCTTTGAACATCTCATTAGATTTAAACGATCACGATTTTTTTAAGTATAGACGTGTCAAGAGAAGCAACAGTTTTTGCAATATCGCCCACTGACCCCGAAGTGCTATGCCGTTATCTTGGCGATGGCTACCGGTACCACTGGGTTACGATTATGGACGGTAGGACCGTACCGTAATCCGTTCATACTGGTGTAAATCGCATTCCTATACGTAGGTTGAAAAGCTCTTAGAAATAGCAGTCAAAAAAGTTGGTGCAGTTTCTATTCGTAACAATTTTGTATGCAAAGATGCAATAAGTTAACAGACTTTAGCTATAACTTGAAGTAGTTTAGAAAAGTTCATTTATTTACCGTTAAATTAAACTATACAACAATCATTGCTTTCTTATTAAGGAAAGAAAACTGTTTACTTAACGGTTTCTTGACTAAGGAAGGGTTCGAGAGAATATTCAACGTGGGAAGAAAGCATAAAGGTAGGCATTAGTGGGCGCGGTATAGTCGGTCAGTACCGCTCTATGGTTATTGCAGTCGACTTTGTATTTTATGGTCGAGGTGTGTTTTGGTCTGTTGATACTGCTGGCCATTGTTACTGGCCAGTACCAATGTTTGTTTTCTATTTTCCTATACCGCCTTTATGTTGCGTAACTCCTTAAACTGTTGATTCATAGTTTTAATTTTGTATTTTCTTATTAATATTACAAATGCGAAAGTTTAGATGGATAAATGGATGTTTGTTATAAGGTATCTACTAAATGGCGATTAGATTAGGTACCGATGTATAATTTTTACCTTTGATTTGGATATGAAAAAACGCAAGAGGTCTTATGAGACATGGTGTGCTCTTTGACCGACTTCCCAAAAGAAGGAGGCACTCAATTCGTCTGTATAGTGTTGTTTCCAATAATTTGACGAGTAATAAAGGTTGTAGATAATATTAGTAGATCTACACAGGTATGTTTTTGCGCTATTATGAAAGGAATTTACAAAAGCTTTTAAAGGGAATTAGCGCGTAATCAAAGGGCGGTTTACTGCCTACGTATTTTGTCGATCG